CACAATTCAAACTTTTTTTTTTATACAGCACCAACTCACAGCAACAGTCAAGCTGCTCTGTATTGTGAAGGCCCGCAACAAAGGACGACCCCTATGACCGCGGCAAAAATGACCCCAGATGAATGAAAGTGAACTTTCAGGAGTCCAGAATCTGCATTTTACGCTCCACACTCTAAACAAACGTTATTTATTGTTTACCCTGGTGTTTAGTTTTGCTTCCTTCTTTGTGCCTGTGGGAGCGCTGACCTGCTGATGGACCTGTCAGAAGAAAAGCATCCAGGAAACAGACCGTCTGGACCTGATTTCATCACAATCCATCCGACGGTCGTTGAGACATTTCAGTCTGAACCGCAGTGTTGGACTGAGCAACATTTCCATGTGTGGAGCCAAGCAGGCAGCCTGAGCAAACCCACTCAGACCACACTGACATGATGTCTTCACGGGAAACTCAGACGAGTTCAAGGACTCGTTCAGCAGAAACTACAGCCCCGATGTTACGATCAGATCAGACTTTCCAGAGTTGGGACCAGAAAACCTCTGAAAACAAAGCTGCAGACCGAGAGAACCGTCAGTCACCGAGGACGAGGACGCTCATTATCCGGAGACCTGCTGACCCGAGGCTCAAAGAGCTGCTGTAAGACAAACACCTGAAAGCTTCCTGAAGCCTCTCTGTTCCTCTCTTCAGTCAGAAAATCACTGACCCAATTATTTCTGCCAGACAGAAACAAAAACAACCTTATAACAAGGTCCCGCTCACACGAAGAGTTTTTGAATTACTATGCCCACACATTCCTCTAAAGGTGGGCGTGGCCAAACTTGGAAGCTGGATTCCCTGAATATTAAAAGGTTTATAAAAAGTTGGGAAGCTGTGAAAAACAAGAGGCGCGTAATGCTGGATACAAGAAACGGACCGATATTTCCCCGAGTATATTGGTGATCGTTATTAGTGCATTTGTGTTCATAGAACTTCATGTTTTCCTGGAGTGTTTTGCCTCAAAAATATGCAGTTATGATTGAAAATAACCAAAATGTAACATCACACAATGGTTTTTTATGTTCTCTGTCTTTTGTCAATTGCCTGCAATTTAAAAAAAAAACTACTGTAACGGTCAGAGGATAATTAGTAATGAGCAGCGGGGGATTGGGACCGACTGCTCTTACAGTAAAAGCTGGAGGTGACTCAATTCTTCTGGAAAGAAAGAATAAAAGCTTCGCTCAGAGTCGAGAGCCTCGTTCTGCTTTTACAACCAGAAAAAATGAGGAAGAATTTCCCCATAAATGTGCAGCACTGAAGTCAGAGGACGATGAAAGTGGAGCTGTTTGTTCCACGCAGCTGTGGCAGAGCGTGAGCTGATCTCAGTAACACAGGCTGCACAGTCACTCTCCAGGCGCGATGGACGCGCTGGATGTGCTGAAAACAGAAGAGTGTCGTCCACTCCTCTGCTAAACAGTTACATGCAGAAACAAAGGGAAAGAGTCCTCATGACTCCCAGTAAAACCAAACGCTTCATAACACTGCATCTCACAAATGATAGAAGCTGAATGTGAGCAAAATGGTGATAAATGTGTTTAATCTGAATAAATGCAGCCTGTTCGTGACCTCGGTTAAGAACAGGCTGCGAGCGCCGGGGTCACAGCTGGACGCTGAGATAACAACTCGGACTGAGAGACGCTTAAAAGAAAACACACAACAGGAAGACATCATTTGTCACGATGAAGTGCTGAAAGTCTTTCACTTCACCTGTGTGGACGGCTGAAGCTCCGCCTCCTATCTGCTGAGACCACAATAAGAAAACCAAGAAAGCTCTGATTGAGTGTAAAGTGCAGTGGTGGATTCACATTTCTCCGGTGGTTTGGAAAAACAGCAGCAGTGACACATTAGTGTTTTCCAACCGCTGCTGAGGAGCCCGTCATTACCCAGCATGCACTGCTGCTCTGCTGTGTGATTTCAGTCCAACACAAACATGTTTCAATCAGCTTTAATCACTCAGCAGAGCTCTGAGGCCCTCAGCGCGGTCTGCAGGCGGGGATCATCGTACCCACACTGTCACCAGAGTCTCTGGACCACGGCAGTAATGGAAACTCTGCAGCCACAAAGCATTCTGGGTGGTCGCGAGTCTTTAACTACACCTAATGCCTCCACTTAAAGGACAAGTCCCCGTTTTTAAGCATGAACTGAATGAATGATGAGGGAAGCTGCTTTTATAGGACGGTAGAAAGTCACAGCTCTGCTCCTACAGAACAGACTCGTTTCTTTGCCTTTGTGGATGACGCAGTTCTGCTGTTTAAAATTAAGACAAGTGCAAGTGCATTAGCAGCAGCACACTGCTGCACACACACACTGCTGCGCACACACTGCTGCGCACACAGGGCTGCGCACACAGGGCTGCTGCTGCTGATTATAAAACATAAGAAAAGAAAATATGTCTACAAAAAGGCAAGAAGACATTTTTGCACTGTCCATAAGTTTAGTTTTTCACTCAGCAGTGTGACTGTTTGCGTCTGCTGGTGAATGCCTGCACCATCAGGACACAGGGTAAGGAGCTGGTCAGGTGGGAGGAGCTCAGAGGGGGACGGTTCCAGCTTCTGACCAGGACTCCTCCTGAGCGCCTCCTTTGTGAGGCACTGAGGCGTGTCCAGATGGAATTATGGAGACGTTTGGGTGTTTCTCAATTCAGAAGATAAAACTTTTCAGGGACACAGTCATGAAACAGCCAATGCTTCCCCGTTACATCACCAGCTGTCCTCGCCCTTACACCAGCAGCACAAAGTGCAGCTTAATACACACAGCGACTTAAAGCACTTTTAAAAACACATTTGAACCACTAGACTGATGTAAAACTGAAACTGAGGCTGATGTCTGACGAACGTGTCGATAAAAGAACCTCTGGTGCCATCTGGTGGTCATATAAGGAACTACAGGTCAATGACTATTTGGTAAGAGACAGATTTAGAATTAATTTATTAATATTATATTATTAATTAAAGGCAAAGAAAACAGATGGATGGATTATTACATCTGGACTCTGAATACAGTGTGTAATAAAAAATAGATTAGATAACAGTAGAAAGCTTAAAATAACAGGCAGTTCTTCCTCCCGTCCACTGAGGACGAGTAAACAGTCACACTGCAGGAACCATGGCACGCAGCACTGCAGCTCTGCCCTCTCTCTCTGGGCTCAGGACCAAAGCAGGAGGGTGAGACATGCCCACTGGAGCAAAATCACAGCAGGTCCTGTTAGGCCTGTAACAACACTGCTCTGCTGACTGAAGAAATAGAACATTTAGGGACTTGTACAGCTGTGTCATGTCAGATCGTCCACAATTAATTTTTATGTGATATCAAAATATCTGTTACTGCTGTAGCAACGCCTTGTGCTCAAGTTCTCTAGGACACGCAACAGCGAGACGATCCTGGGACAAAAGCCACGTCGGCCTCTGATGGTGATTTAGCATCAAAAAAGGGAGCAACTGTGAGAAATGAGGAGCTGGTGATGTGACCCACATATGAATAAACATCATTTTTGTCCATAGCATCAGAAATATAATTACTGCAAATGAAACATCATAATCTAATTTTGAGGGTATGAATGAGAAAGATTTTTACTGTATTAATCATCAGAAGCTTTTTTCATCTGAGCTGTACTTCACTTCCTACAGGTGAGCTGGAGTCACTACAGCCGGCACTGAAAGAGCTGGTTTCCACCATCATCCTTCTTCATGAGGATGCGAGCCAGAGATCTGGCTTCAGTCAGCACACAGGCACAACTCCAAACGGAACGATAGAACGATCGGCCGTTTTTTCTGCTCATCACTGCGCTCTAAAACTCACTGTCACACAACAAAAACAGACCCTGCTGTCATTCAAAACACCACAGAAGGAAAAGACCCAACACACAAAATCCAAAGTCCTCCATGGAGTCAGACTTGCCTGCACATCAACCAGAAGCACTGCTTCACGAACCATTAAATTCATGTTTTAATCAGATCAGCTCCAGACTGAACGTGGAGCATTTCCACCTTCCAAAGCTCCACGGCGAGCTAGTGCTGTGTGATACTGCAAATGTAGATGCCGAGTAGATAAAGAGCCAGTACTGCTGATACCAATACTTTTAACTCATGAACGCAGATGATGTACAAGAGAGCAGTGTGCTATGATTTATGAGATCTACTTACATTAAACTTAGCAGATAGAAACAAAGTATCGATCCTATCGCACTACTATCGAGCCGATACCAATACCAGCTTTAGTATCGACACTATCGATACTTGGATCGATCCGTCCACCTCTACAGGAGCCGAGAGGAACCATGTCAATCATTGTTGAATATTGTTATTATGTTACCGCTGATCGGTCAGAAAACTTCCCGTTTCACCTCCAGCTGAGCCACATGGACATCAAGCTTACTTATTTTGAGAACAAATGAAAGAAAAACTCCGTTTCCGCCTAAAGTCGGTTTATTGCAGTCTGGTTGTGGAGTCATCACTTTACCGTTTACGTGAGTAATCGATCACGCTCCGTGCAGCCGGCAGTTTTATGATGAAACCTCGCTAACGCACGCTTACTGAGGCGTTAGCATTAGCAGCCGTTAGCACAGAGCCGGCCCACGCCCCTGAGCGTGAACGCGCCCGTGCACAGAGCCGGGACCGGGCCCGGTGTTAGCGGACACTCACCAGAACCACCAGGCAGTCGGTACTGATCGACGGCAAACCCCAGTCTCCTTCCCAGCAAAACAACTCATCGGGCGCCGCCATCTTCACCCCGGATGGTGACCTCTCACACCGGAAGTAGCTATCAAATGAAGTCTTTTGTAAAAACGCATTTCAAAGTAAAAGGATTAATAAAATGTTTTATTTTTCGATCCAGAGAAGTAATCCGTAGAGAAGAACAAGTACTTATCATCAGCACCACTAGCAAAACTCAGGGTGAGGTCATGTTTTTTTTTGTTTTTTTTAATTAAACTTTATTTACAAACAACAGTATAACATACAAGGCACCATCATTAATCCGATTATGTTACATCCTCGGTTGAGCATTATAGCAAAACAAACAAACAAACAAAACGAACAAAAAAACCAAAAACAACAACAATAAGCACAAAGTTAAAACAGTTAGCACAAAAAGAAAGAACAGTCATTGAAGGATTCGAACCAAAGGCAAAAACTAACGTGCAAAAAAAGGGCAGTCGTGATTATAAAATAGGGAGTTTTTTTTTTTTTTTTAACATAGGTTAAACTCTTTAAATAAAACAACAAGTTTATGGGCTTTCTTGTTATTCACAAGTTTCAGCGATTTAGCCCAGAGTCTAAAGTCATTCAGCCATCTGTTTATACAAGGTTTAGCTTTAAAGTATCTGCATTTGTGAATAAAAATTTTCCCATTAACAAAAACGTCCTAATCAACAGGTCAAAATCTGCATTCTCAGCAAGTATTCCAAATTTTATTACTGTCACCGTCAAATGTGGTAACTGAATTCTCCTGGACTGTAGCCAGCTCCACATGTCAGTCCAGAAGGAGTGCACTGATTCACAGTTGAAAAACAAGTGATCCAGACTTTCAGTATCATTTTCACAAAATGTGCAGGCGTTCACATCTAAATTAAATTTCCGTCTTAAGAATTCATTGGTTGGATAAACCTCATTAATGATTTTAAAGTGAACCTCTTTTACTTTAGGGGAAAGAGGAAGTGAAATATACTTTTTTCTTATCGCCTTAACCTCCATGGTCTCAAATTCTTTAAGGATATAATTTCTTTTAACCGGATTAGGGCAAATTTCGTTTATCAAAATATTCCTGATCACTTTGTTTGTAAACCTGCTGTCACCAAATTCAACTCCAGCTATGCAGAGCTGCCTCAGTGCAGGAGAAATTTTAGAGTGCGGGTGAGGTCATGTTAGCACCATGGAAAACTCAGCAGGCGTTCACAGCAGGAGGTCAGATAAATACAGTTATTTATTTATTCTTAGAAAACATGAAGCAGGACACTCAGACAGAGTCCACAACTCAGCTGTTTCACTCCTGAACCACCTTTAAGAAAGTCCAGAGCATCAACAGTTACCGGACAGAAACCAGCCAATCACGGGAGAGCAGAGTGACCTTTCAACTGATCCAGTGTAGAACCAACCTTTATTTAAAGCAGTGATGAGTGAAAGTGATACAGCCTTGGCAACCCTGGCCTTTATTTTAATCTTTATGTCATTAATTTAGTGACACAATCCCATCTTATTTTATTTTGGATTAATTTTACGATGTAGAAATGAAAGTAGACGTGTTCATGCGTTTGATTTTTTACCGATCGACAGTTCAACAATCAGTCTCTCACTGTAAACACAAGCTGCCGTCTTTCATCGTGTGCTGTGTGAAACAACAGGATGAAGGAAACGTCCTCTGCTGCGTCTCGAGTGGGGAAACTGTGGCGTTGTTGGTTTTCAGCAGCTTCCACTCTAAAGCTCAAATGTTGCACAACTAAATCTTCCTCAATCAGAACTCGGAGCAGATTAAAATGAGAAGTCAGGTGGTAGATATGGATGTTTCTTAACTCGAGATAGGAACCCATAACGGAATTATTCATTCATTTCATTACACAACACCACATTTAACACAGCAACAAAGTAACTAATGACAAATAATGCAATACTTATTTCCCTTATAAAGAGTGTGAGGCCACAAAAACACACTCAGGCTTTCTAACCAGTTAATATTTCTAACATGATCATGTCTGAATTATTCACGTTAATATAAACACGATCTGTGCTGAGAGAGTCCACAAAGATATTTTCTTTTATTTGGAGGCAAATCTTTAGTTTTGTAAATGCTTTCAGTAGTTCGGCCACAATGATCAACGAGCTGCGTTATGAAAGTCAGACTGGAGCTTCCTGCAGCTCCTCCTCTGGTCTCTGTGAGAGGTGACTACGGCTCAGCGTTCAACGCCATCGTCTCAGACAGCCTCACCACCAAACTGGAACGCCTTTAGACCCCCCAGCTCCTGGATCAGACACTTCCTCACCAACTGGCCTCAATCTGTCCAATCATCTTTGTCCCCCCAGAGGTCATCGTCAGATCCTCCTGTCTCAGGTAAACCAGGGCCATCACAGCTGAACCCTCAAACCCCGCCCACCAACTGTTTGACACCTCCAGACTCACTAACAGCTCCTTCCCCCCACACCCCATCCTGCCCACCCACCTCACCAATCTGAGCCATGGTCACAGGACACTCTCACAGACTCTATACTCAGCCCTGTCTTTGCACTGCTCTCAAACACGTGTGTCTCCATTGGCTGCCTTTCTCTTATTTATGTCTATATTCCTCTAGACTGTAAACATCTCCTCTGTTTGCTGTTTATTCCTTTTTTCTTCTTCTTTTTCTCTAAAGATGGCGCATAAAAGCAGGACTGAGTCCTCTGTGTAGAGCGACAGTAACTGTGTGTGTTTGTAAGCATTTAAACAATGCAGAGAGTAAAATGAACAGCAACAGTATTTTGTCTAAGTCCATCATTGTAGAAATGATGGCGCACAGCGTGACGTCAAAAAAGGCGCACACCTTTGACGCTGCATTTTCTCCGTTTTCCTCGTCCACACGTAAATGCAAAAACTGCGTTTTTAAAAATCTCTGTTTTCATTGGCCGAAAAAGCTGTTTACACGTGGACGAAAGGTGCAAACGCGTAGAAAAATCTGCATTTTCAAAAATACCCGCGTACGTGTGGACGTAGCCTCTGTGCTAACTCTGTGGAAACGGCTGAAAACGATGGTGTGGACGCAGAGCGTTTTCAGACTAAAACGACGTTTTCAAATTTATCCGGGCTCGTGTGGACGTAGCCTTAGCATGTCTCTCACACTTACTGTTGACAGATGGTATCTCAGGAAGTTGGAGAGAAGCATCCACACACAAAGGAGTGGGGGGGGGAGTCTTTTGTCTCTTTTTCCACTGTAGATAGCAAGGGAGACGGGGAAAGACCCCCAATTCCTGCTGTCTTTACTATTTAGATATTTATTTTTTACTCTTGCACACTCAGCCACATATCGTTTCATTGTACATGTACAATGACAATAAAGACCTATTCTATTCTATTCTATTCTATTCTATTTCTCCTGTGTGAGCTGGACACAGGTGTAGCCGACTGTAGTTTCCTGTTGGTCGTGTTGTTCTTGAACGCTGCTGTAGACGTTATTAGGAAGCTGAAACCACAGACAGACGTGAAAACAGTGAAGAGGACAGAAACACAGGAAGATGGCTGTTAGTTTGCTCCGTAAACGAATCACTGATCTCTTCTTCTTTCTCCCATTAGACGTCATCTCACCCCACTTAGCCTACTGCATCGTCTGCTTATTATTCTTAACAAGTCATCACATTATAAATATATCTTAATCCATCCCATTATCCTCAATAAAAGGGGTAAAGTGTGTTAAACAGTTCCTCCCATCAGTAACTCACCTTCAGCAGCTCTCTGACCCTCTGCTGCTCTCAGCCTCCTGTAACAATATGACTGATTTTACAATCAAATATCAAAAACTACAAAGAAAACAAACGTGGATAAAAAAGGAGAACATGCAAGTTAGGGTTAAGATTATAATTATTCATAATATGCTGTGAACGAGGCAGCACGGTGGCACAGTGGTTAGCACTGTTGCCGCACAGCAAGAAGGTCCTGAGTTCAATTCCAACATCAGGCCGGGGTCTTTCTGTGTGGAGTTTGCATGTTCTCCCCGTGTTTGCGTGGGTTCTCTCCGGGTACTCCGGCTTCCTCCCACCGTCCAAAGACATGCAGCTTGTGGGGATAGGTTAATTGGATAATCCAAATTGTCACTAGGTGTGAATGTGAGTGTGAGTGTGAATGGTTGTCTGTCCCTGTGTGTTGGCCCTGCGACAGACTGGCGACCTGTCCAGGGTGTACCCCGCCTCTTGCCCTATGACAGCTGGGATAGGCTCCAGCGCCCTCCGCGACCCTGAACAGGATATGCGAATGGATGGATGGATGCTGTGAACGTATTTAACAAAGTCATTATGTGTTTAAAAGAATAAACAGTAAGAATCAGCAGTTAAACAAACCCACAAACTGAGAAAGTGTTGGGTGTTACTGTGTATTTGTGAGATGTGAGTATGAAAAATGATTTGATGTAAAATTGTTTTCATGTGTTTTATCATGTAAGAAACAGCAGGAAATGCTCTGTTTAGGTGAGGGAGCTGTGGGAGGTTCAGGGCAGACGAGTCAACGCACATATATACACGAGGCGTGAGAGACGGAGGCTGATTTCACATTTGTACTTCAGATCATTTCTGTTTCCTGACATCAGACCTCCACCTGTGCTGTGGGCTTGATGCTAACACTTACACAGGCTGCTGAACCAAAGCTCAGCTGTCCGTCTCTTCAGCTCTTTGTGTGGAAGTGTTGGCAGAGAAAGCTTTACTGTTATACTGTTAATCACACAGGTGATGTAATGTTACATACGTGTACTTTACATGAACACAAGTAAAATCACTAAAACGTAATATAACTCAGGTTCAGCACAGCCACCTTCAGCTGCTGCTGAAGAGGAACTCAGACTGATTTGTACCTTTCGACGATGAAGAGCACGAGCGCGATCACAACCAGCAGGACAACAAACACCACACCAGGTATCGGAGGAAGGTTTCCACCAGCTGTGAAAACAGAAACATATGTAGAAATCAGCACAAACTGTCGGTATGTTACGGGTTGGAAGTGAGAAAGCTCTGATAGAAATATAGCTTTGAAACAACCTGTTTTTATGTATTTATATATGTTTAAGTCAGTTTTCATCCTGCATGTAATTTATCCTGAGTGATGAGTTTGTGCTGTCAGTGAAGTGACCTGAGCGTCCGATCATGTTTCTACTAACTTTAGTTTTCACAGAATGTCACTGGGTGCTGTCGAGGTGGTGTTTTGCTAAAAAAAAGAAAAAAGAAAAACGTTTTACTCACATGTTGTAACTTTATTGACTAAATAGAAAAACTAGTGATAAAAGAATCCATCCACTCGGACATAAATAGAGGGGACATGGTCCCCGTGTCTCTGGCTGGCTCGCACGAGGTTTTCTTTTCTTTCTTTCCCTCTCCCTCACTCCTCTCTGCCTGGGCGGAGCTTGTTACAGGCTCTTGCTCTTGGCCCACGCACCTGTGTGATTGTCACCACCTGCTGCTGTTCTGGCTGATTCCCCAGCTACTATTGAAGGCAGTTGCACAGAGCAGCTCTCTGCTGGAACGCAGAGTCTCCTGAGTTCATGCTCTAAGCTTCTTTAAAGAAGTCCCTGTGTGTATTTACCTGTGGTACTAACTACTGTTTCCTGTATGTAGATATCCCCCTCCTGGACCAGATTACGGACCCTTCCTGTGTGTGGTGGTGTGAGTGGAGTTTTGGAGCGATTGCGGCTGAAGAGGAGTGAGTGTGCGTGGATTACCCCCTTCTCCCTGGAGCCCCTCCCATCTCACTGTACATATCTCACTGAGGTGTTCCATATTGTAAATAAACTGCCTTCGTTTGTGTGCAAAGAACTCTGTCTGTGCTTGAGTCCATCCAGTAGCCATGCTTTTTAATTCTGCTGCAGATCTCATTAGATCATGGATCTGAGGACAGAGGATGCACAGGTGAGTCCACCTGTGATGTTTAAAACAGGCTAACATTGCTGAAACATACAAACCACGGCAGGACTCAACAAATACATTTTCATTTGTATTCAAGTCATTTGAGTTCTTCAGATGTTTCACTTTTTGTGTCTGAAAGTCTGTGTTTGGGGGAAAAAGTGATTTTATTTTTTTAAGGGTTTGCAAAAGTCACAATAAGTTTTGGAGGCTCATAAAATCCTTTGATATGTTAAAACAAAACTTGAATCTTTGCAAAAATTATTATTATTATTATTATTATTATTTGAGGTTCCTTCCTGCCAAACACCACGTAGCTCATAAAGTCACAGCTGTGAGGCGACTCTGTGGAAGAAGTGTCAGTATTTAAATAATTTCCCAATGTGTGTAATCATTTTTTAGAACATCGTTTACTAAAGGCAAAGTTTATCATTTAAAGTTACTTGAAACCTAAAAGAATCAAATTTGAGGTTCATCCTATCAAAACACTTTACCAGTCTTTGTTTCATTTAACAACTTAATTTTAAGCATCTTCTAACTTTTCAAAGCTTCTTTTTTCAGTTTGAAATTGTGGCCGGAGATCGCTCCCACATCTCTGTAGAGTTTGTGTTCTCAGTTTGATGACGTCTTAAAATTTAAAAAAAGTTTCAGAAAACTGAACAAACCTCCAGCCTCCACCTGCAGGCTGTACGGCTCAGAGAGAGTCTCCATGATGTTATTCAGAGCACAGGTGTAGTTCCCAGAATCCTCTGCAGTCAGAGGGCTGAGAGGAAGGGAGGGGCCAGTGTCTGAGAGGGCGTGGCCATCTTTGAACCACGTGACTTCCAGTTGGTGGAAAGTGCAGACTGAAGCACAGAGCAGTGTGACGTTTTCACCTCTGCTCAACTTTTTATCATCACTGGAGCTGATTATTCTCATTTTAGACGAATCTAAAATCAAAGTGTTCATATTACTTCACACTTATTAATTCTTAATGATGAATGATTATTTGCAGAATTAAGATTTTTTGTTCTCACCAACAACCGTGACATTCACTCCTGTCTGGTTAGTAAAATGTCCTTCAGGACGATCAGCTTCCATCCTGAAGCGAAAGCTTGCGTTGTCTCCCTGCTGAACATCTCTGATCTGTAAAGTGCAGTTTGTCTTCTTGTCTCCCAGATATTGATAACGAGGATCGATGTTTGCTGGGTTACTGTCATACACAGATGGAGTGCTGCCCAGACAGAGTACATGGTTCTTACACCAGCGGACTCTGACGATCTTTAGAGGAACTTCTCTCTGACCATCACTGAAAGACTTCCGAGGTGTGAAGGTGCAGGGGAGGGTGACAGTGGACCCTCTGACAGCACAGGTAGACGTGAAAGGATAGACCACAGTTTGAGCCACAGCACCTGTGTGTGAAATATACAAAGCTGGTCAGATTAAACAAAGAATCATGGCAGGGTATTCTGGGTAGTTGTTATGGTTGCACACAAACTATCAACACAACTTTTTTTTATGAACATAACTCCAAATTTCGAGTTACTTTTCTCAAAATTTCTGGTTTTTGACACTACGGGCTTCCATCTGGTACTGATGAGTTAGCGGTTACTAATTGTGTATTTTATATTTTCTCATCACCTGTACTGCAGCAAGCCACTAGAGGGCGACTGTGATATTAAAGGCTTCGTGCAGTCCAGATCAGAGGGTTAAGATCACTTGAAAAATGGCAAAAAATCATGTTTTGCATGGTTGGATCTTAACAAGGTTCCAGGTCGAGCTTCAACATGAAACAAGGAGAAATGAGAGTGAAACAAAACATTTTTTGAACATGCAATTTATTGAAAACACTGATTAAACTGAAACAGGGTGTTTCGGAAAAACAAAAATACCCACAATTTAAACTCCATAAAACCAGTTTTAGACACCAGCACACAAACAACGGTAGTTCCTGTACTTTCTAACAAGAGTTTTTGATACGATGCAAAATAAGTAAATAAGACAAACTGTAGAGATGAAGACAGAAACACATCTGATAAGCAGGAAAACGTTGGCCGGAAAAAAGAAGAATGAAGGAACTCGAGTGTCCCAACAACTTCCTCAAATAACTGCCTGACTGTTCACCAGGTTCCCAGCGCCGAGCAGCACCGATCTCAGGAAGGAGGTACGAGAAGATCCATGAGCAAATAAAAAAATAAATAAGTGCCAATAATAAAATCAATGACTGCACAATATTAACTGTAAAGTTTTTCTATCAAGTAAATGTGACGTCAGTCAGAAATAATGAGTCTGCTACAAAATGTTTGTGTGAAAACAAAGTAACGTAAAATAACTTCTCCTTTTGATTTCCCCTCAGCAGCTTTAAGGTGGCTACAATGATCACATCCAGCTGCTCGATCACTTATTGATCTTCTACATTCACACTCACATCTCTGACATGTGGTTTCTGCTTTTGTGCCTTTAAACAGGATTTGGATGCAGAGCAGCAGCAGCGAGCGAGTCAAAGGAAAACTCTGAACCCTGTTTCCACTGATCGTCACTAAAACAGGATCAAAATAAGACTTCAGTCTTACCTGCCAGCAGGAACATGAAGCTCCACAGAAGCTGTTTGTCCCAAACTGCCATCCTTAGTTTCTGCTGAGGCTCTGCTGCAGTCAGAGGAGCGAGCAGAGAGTAAAGAGCTGGATGATGAAATGAGGCTGAAGAGTTGTCTTTGTGAATCTGTCGTTTCTTTTATGGTCACTTCCTGAAACCACGTGATTCATTTAAAAAATAGAAACAGTTTGCAGAAACTCAGAGACCAAAGCACTCTGAGCTGCAGGAGGAGGGTTTCATGTTCATTAGATTTGCAACATGCAACAAAGAGAACAAGAATGTTGTGTAAAAATCTTTGTTTCTTGTTTTATTCAAAGTTCTCTGTTTCATCATTTGCATGAAATCTCTGCTGAACATTGAAAACAAGTGTGGACACAAAGAAAGAAGATTGTTTCAGTAATTCATCGCTAACAATCTAGGAAGTGTCCCAGTCTGATGTGCAGAAGCTCCAGATGTTGGTTTCATGTGTCAGCACCAATCGTCAGAGCTGACGACTGACGATGGTAATTAACACGTTTATCCAGTGAAATGCGTTAACGTGAATACATGACATATTATTTTTATCTCTTTATTTTTTTGCATTGGCTGCATCAAAACAAATAAAGATTGTTATGATCAGTAGATTTTCTCTCATCTAACCTGCACCGAGGATCCTGTACACAGGAGCTTTTTTGTGTTTGAACAAACAGATGTGATGGATGAAGTCATCGCGGTTACTTCTTCAGGTTTATTTTCAGCGTCTCCGTCATGATTTTATTTCACTTCTTTAGTTTTTTCTTTTTATATTTCTGTAAAGGTTAATTCAGCAGCATTTAGAAGCTCTTAAATGAAAATTACATTTTAAAGCTAAAATCTGATTATTGTTGTCATGCATGAATTTTCACATTTCGATAGTTTTAGTGGTTAAACTTTATGATTGATTAATTTCTGACGTGCTGCTCAAATATAGATATAAAAATGTAAATTCAGCTTCCTTTTTGTCGAATTAAAAACTGTCGAGATTTTAGTTTTAGTTTAGTTTTTTTTTTTTTACATAATTCTGAAATATTTATGTTTTGTTGTTTTTACGACAGGTTTAGTCTCAAACACGTTTCCGTCCCTGCAGGCAGAGTCTGACATCACGTCCTGTCTGCTCATCCTCAGAAGCTTGTGCCATCATCTAATGTTTCACAACTTTGTCCTACACTAAAGGCATTTGTGAGGGATGATTAAACAGACGTCAGAGCAGATTAAAACATTAATATAGTCGATGTTTTCTCTTGTTTGTTTATCAAGAGGAAACAGGAACTCTCGAGAAATTTAAAGAAAATCTTAAAATTTTTCATAAAAACCTTTTTACAACAAACAACAACAAAACACAGACAAATAAAAAAAAATCATTATTTTTATTGCAATTAACATAGAAGAAAAATGAAAGTTATTTTTAATAAAGTAATGTGTTCATAACAAACAAAACATTTTGGACTAAAACAGAAGTCGTGACACTGAAACACAGACTGTATATAGAAGATGTCCAAAGGCCCATCGTGACGCCGCAGGTTCATGTTTTTAAGACTCTGTTTTGGTATTTTGACTCGAGATCGAGCGAGGCGGCTCTAACAGTGAAACCGAGACCACCGCAGGCTCGTACGGCTTTTGGATCAATTAAAAATAGACTAAATGATACCTGAAAATAACAGGAGAACTACTTCCTCCTCTGAAGTTCTGCGATCAAGCTGCAAAACATCTGAGGAAGTCTTAATGTGTTGCTAATCTCACTGAGCCAGTGCTGGTATAAAAAAGTGGACTCGTGCAGCTGTGGCAGCCATGACAGGGTAAAGACAAGCCGGTTATTCATTTCCTTTTCTGCATATGTGGCGTCTGCGTGGACGGCTGAATGTGTGTGAATGCAGACAAAGTGCTTTCATGAAAGGGTGAATCAGGCGTGTTGTGTAAAGTGCTTAAAGCGCTCGAGTAAAGCAGAAGAAGTATGGAAATGAACCCCACAAAGCAAACTCTCCTCCATCATCAGCACTTGGAAAATGAACTTCATGTTTCATTCAGCAAAGCTTCAAACTGCAGATGAGCCTTCAACTCACTGGGAAACATTTAACGAGGTCACAGATTAAGTGAAGGTTCGGCTCATTTTCTCACCTCTTATTGAGGTTTTGCAGACGTGTGACCACTAACCAGGTGATGGTTAATGTTTTAGATGAGTGACAGTCACAGAGACAATGAAGGATCAAATGAATTGAGTGGCAGTGATACAGGCCTGGGACCAATGAAGCTTTCTGACCCTCAACGTGAAATAAAAGTGAATTGTGTGCAGATCGCTCGGCTCAGATCAGGCAGCATGTGGAGGACACGACGATGGTTGTGGTTCAGCAACGTGAAGTTTTAGCTTTTGTTCTCAGAACAACCTGATCAGAGAAAAGCAGCTCAGACTCTGAAGAGTACAAAGTCTGCATTGTTGCATTTTTCCTCGTCCTGGTTTAATGAGCGCTGTAAGAAGAAGTGTGCTGGGTCCTTCACTCAGACTCGAGTTTCAAACCAGCTTCCAGATGACTGAGAAAATAATGAAGTGGAATAACAGAGAGAGTGTGGAGCAGATCATGGCCCAGAAACAAATAATTCGATTGTGAGTTATTCCCGATATGGACAGCGTTCCAGTTTGGACTGAGCTGCATTCATGACTTCCTCCACCTTACAGCACACATGCAGCACCACAGAGCTGCAGATACACCTTCGGTTCATCTCTCTGAAGTTTTTTAATAGTTCTGTATAAAGTCAGAGTCGAGCCGCAGCTTCATCAAACAGATTTACACAAACTGCCACAGCTCACAGCTTCCTGCAGCTGATTGGTGGATGGAGGGAGTGAGAGAGCTGCGATTCATCCTCGACTGGACACTGAGGAATAGACAACGTCATCGCTGGCCGCCTGCAGGCGCCTACGAAGCAAAAATAAAAGAAAATGATCTGATGACAGCTCATGCATGCAGCATAGACAGACACTTCTGTGGTGTTATTGTGATACGTTGTGCCGAAATAAAGTTTAATCTTTCATCGCTGTCTGTTTGTCGCAGCGGCTTCAGTGTCACAGCCACAAATCTGAGCTGTCTGTTGTTTGTGTGACGACACAAACGTGAGTGTTTAAACGTTTCCGGGTCCTACCTGGCCCCCTGTTTCTTCTGTTTGAACTGGACGGAGGCATAGCTGACGTCCTCCGCAGCTCGGCCGGGTTCCTGCTGCTGAGCCGCCTCAGTTTGTGCAGACTTCACCATGTTGCTGTAGATGCTATCAGGATGCTGAGAACCACAGCAGGGAAACAAAGAGATCAGACGACTGAAGGTCCAGAATCAAAGCAGCACACTTTCAATCAATGCACATGTTTTGAACTCGAGCTTGCTAAAATAATAACCTATACAGAATGTCACATCCTATAAGATTCATTCATAGTAAAGTCCTCCCATCACCCACTCACCTTCTGCTCTGGATCACCTCCCACAGCCCTCTGATCCTCTGCTGCTGCCAGCTTCCTGCAACAGTATCAGTATTTATGAGAATCACACAACAGGACTGTAGAAAACAGACACAATGTGATTATAAATCACACACATTAGTAGGTTAGGAGTTAGGAAACATGCTGTGACGTCAGACTTGATCAGCTGATATTGTATTGGTTGTATTGTCTCTTATTAATATGAAAAACTACTCAGATTATTAAGTATTTAACAGAACTTTTTCCAACTGTCTCTTAATCAGCTCTTTCATTCTTGGGCTGCAGTTTGTACCTTTCCTGCATGAGCCTGTGGTGGAAATGTCTTCATTCATGTAAAGGAAAATATTAACATCAGGAAGCATAATAATTTCTAAACGTTATCACGCTGTGCTTCTGCATTTTTCTCATTTATTTAAAGGGATTTGATCAGATGATATTTTCCAGATTGACATAAATATATAGCAAACACGTTTTATTTTATTATTAATTATTTAAAAAAATAAACCTTTATATATTTAAGGTGAATGTGTGCTTCGTGTTTACTGAGGATGAAGTTTGAAATCCACACCAACTTCACATAATTTGCTTCTTTGCTAAAGTAAAACCACAAAAACATGAAATACTTCAAACACTCTGTTTCTGCACCTTTTGATGATGAAGGTGAAGAGTACGAGCAGGATCACAGCCAGCAGGAGACCAAACACCACACCAAGTACCAGACGAAGGACACCATCAGCTGTTAGAACAAACAACAGATCATGAGTGACATCACTGGGTGCTGCGATTTGGGATTTACAGATTCATGAAAGTGAACAAAGCTCTTCACGTGTTTTACATGTGGTTCTTTCATTAGCTGAGTATAAAAACAGTGAGTGCATGAAGGAGTTTTTCCAGATACAAATGTCCCAGTTTTATTCTGCTGCTGATCTGGAGATGATTTGGTGTCAGGCTGAGCATCATTGTGTGTTTGCAGTTTGATGACATTTTTAGAAGTTTCAGAAAACTGAACAAACCTCCAGCCTCCACCTGCAGGCTGTACGGCTCAGAGAGAGTCTTCATGCTCTTCTTCAGAGCACAGGTGTAGCTCCCAGAATCCTCTGCAGTCAGAGGGCTGAGATGGAGGGAGGGGCCAGTGTCTGAGAGGGCGTGGCCATCTTTGAACCACGTGACTTCCAGTTGGTGGAAAGTGCAGACTGAAGCACAGAGCAGTGTGACGTTTTCACCTCTGCTCAACTTTTTATCATCACTGGAGCTGATTATTCTCATTTTAGTCGAATCTAAAATCAAAGTGTTCATATTACTTCACACTTATTAATTCTTAATGATGAATGATTATTTGCAGAATTAAGATTTTTTGTTCTCACCAACAACCGTCACAGTCACTCCTGTCTGGTTAGTAAAATGTCCTCGAGGACGATCAGCTTCCATCCTGAAGCGAAAGCTTGCGTTGTCTCTCTGCTGAACATCTCTGATCTGTAAAGTGCAGTTTGTCTTCTTGTCTCCCAGATATTGATAACGAGGATCGATGTTTGCTGGGTTACTGTCATACACAGATGGAGTGCTGCCCAGACAGAGTACATGGTTCTTACACCAGCGGACTCTGACGATCTTTAGAGGAACTTCTCTCCAACCATCACTGAAAGACTTCAGAGGTGTGAAGGTGCAGGGGAGGGTGACAGTGGACCCTCTGACAGCACAGGTAGACGTGAAAGGATAGACCACAGTTTGAGCCACAGCACCTGTGTGTGAAATATACAAAGCTGGTCAGATTAAACAAAGAATCATGGCAGGGTATTCTGGGTAGTTGTTATGGTTGCACACAAACTATCAACACAACTTTTTTATGATTGGTTTGCATCAAAATTCAGTTTTTACACACTGACCCTGCAGTTCAACCTTCAAACAGTCACTCATGCTGTGATATGATGCTACGTGCAGCAGTTCACTGCAGCCCTGCAGACTCTGAAACACAGAGTGACCTGCTATAAACAAACGGCTGCAAACTTTCTATAGGTCATTATTGCTTATGTTGATGATTAAGTTCTTTTTTTAAATTACAAAAACTCTGGACACTGAAGGATTATGTTTATTCCGTACAGACAGAGCAGCAACAAGGATGGGGAATATATGCTGAGAATATAGCAGGATCACAGCTGGATAACCTCATCTGGCTGTTTATGATGAGCAGGAAGCTCCTCTAACCTCATCCTGTTTTAAACCACACCACAATGTTTCCCTGAGGCAAACCAAACCTGAACCAACAAACAGCGGTCTATGTTTGGAAACCGGCAGAGCATCCGCCCACGCTGCACCCTCATCCTCAGAAAGAAATACGACATTCAAAGTAAAAGTAAAATAATGAGTGAGAGCGTTCTGCAACAGCAAAGATGGCGACAGTTTAACACAGCAAATATTTTAAGTTCTTTTGTTTGTTTTTTAAAAAAGACTTTTACTCCTTAAATCACATTTTAAAGTGTCTGTCTGGACTTTTTAAGGCTTCCTTCATCTTTCTTGTCTCCGCCTGCTTGTCTCCTCTGTCTCTCTGCCTATAATGCTGCTGCTGCTAACCTCAGTACACCATGCTGAAGGATTTCTCAGTCTGTCAGTGCATCCAGAGCACAGACTAAGGAGAAGCTAAACCAGCTTGTTTCATGGATGGACAGAGTGGCTGCAGCAAAGGGCAACATGAGATAAGTGAATAGTTGAGTCTAAAGATAAAGTTTCGAGCTGGAAACAAGCAGCATGAGTCCAATTTGTTTAATTCTTAATACCAGTTCATTCAGACCGTGTGTATTGAACTGTACTAACACCACCTTAGTGCAGAAACATGTTTTATTTAATACTCATATACTAATTCAAAAAAGTCTTTCAGGAAAATGTCAAATTCATCAGTAGTGCTGCATCAGCACTGGTTATACATCATTAAAAAAGTTATTTTAAGACAGTGTCGCGAAATCAATCCATGTAGAGCAGTGTCACAAACCATGGAAGCCCCAGAAAAGTGCAATCAAACGATGAGTTTATTAACAGCCCGGAGAAAACATCAACATATGTCTTCTGACCAACATACATGTTGTGGACACTTATAAAGCAGTGGGGTACACGCCCCCCATGGCGTCAATGACAGATTAAAATAGGTTCCAGACATTAGTCACAGTTAATCGTACATCTTTAATAGCTATAACAGACATAGAACTTCTCTTTTCTATAACACCTTCCATACAAGGTAGTAAACTTCAAGCCCTCAGGGTCTCTGAGGCTAATTATTGACTCTGATCATCTGTTACCAAGTAGAATAAAATATATTAAGACACCAAATGAGTTGAGGCCTCAGGCCGGACACATTCCTAGATTATATGTATTATATGTACTGTGAGCATGCATTGCAGTTATCCTTCTATGTTCTAGTTTCCCTCAGCATGGATCACCTGGACAGTCACGCCAGTGAAGCTTAAGACCCTCAATGAACCGAACATCAACTCAAAATAAGCACAGATAGGCAATGTGTATAAAATACTTCTAACCGTACCTGTAATAAAAGTTAACATAATGGAAGGATCCTCAAATGGACATCTTCAATAAACAGCTGTAATGCAGTATCAATACTGTGAGAAACATTATTAGATGAAATAATGCTGTAAAGAATGTTATTAATGCAGTTACAACGATGCAGATTATATGGCAGCAATAAAAGAATTTCTGTATCTCCACAACAGCAGTACTAGTAAAACTGTGCTCTTACTCTGTAATATTACTGTATATTCAGCAGAAGAAGTGATGCAAGTAAGAAAAACAGGAAGTCTGCAGAGTCTCTGCTAAAGCAGCTCAGGACTGAGCCCGACGCGGAGGAAAGCAGAAGTTTATTTAACCGAGATGGTCCCGACTTACCGACCTGCCGAGTTAGCTGTGGGGCTGGTTACCAGCTTTCAACATGGCGGTCACTCTTATGGTCAACTTCTGTGCACAGTTTGTGTTTTTGGAAGTTATTAAACATGTTTGCTGCAAAATCCTTCAGCCTGGGGACGTGTCAAAGGAACCATTAACAGCCCAGGATTCATGCCCAGTTTCATAAAACTTCAGTGCACACCTGTATTTAAACTCTTCATGTAACACATCAGCACGAGGGCGTGGGGATGCACATCAGCTGAAAATCACAATCAGTGTTTTCTGTGTTTCTTTATGACCGTGCTCCCTGCTATTCCAAATAAATCCTGGAAAGTCTTGATCAGTGTTGGTCAAGTTACTTGAAAAAAGTAATCAGTAACTAATTACTGATTACTTCCCCAAAAAAGTAATCCCGTTACTTTACTGATTGCTTATTTTCAAAAGTAATTAATCACTTAGTTACTTTTTAAAAACACGATTTACAACCTGAAGAGGTGATTGTCATGGTCCTGGGTCGTTGACCCAGCGTTTTGTGTTTATTCTGATTTGTATTAGTTTAGGGTTGAACTTAGTGATGGGACGTTCTGTATCGAGGCTTCGGAGCGTGTGTCGAGTAATGCGCGTATCGAGGCTTGCTTCATTTATGGGAGGAGCTGAAAATGATGACGTCCGAAGCCTCGCTGCCCGGCTGTACCACGTGACTGGTTCATGAAGTGGTTCGAACTTTGCCGCGAGATATGACAGCGATATAAACCCCTCAGACTTCATTCAAAATGTGGGTGTTTGATGGAGAGTTGCGGTTAGAGAGAGTTTGGAGACAGTTTGGAGGTTTATGAGAGTGAGGAGAGAAAGTCAGGAGAGAATGGAGCCAGCTAAGAAGAGGAGGATGTCCTCCCCTGTGTGGGAACATCTTGATCTTATTCCTCCCAACAAGGTATGTAAATTTCTACAGAAGATGTATTTTCATGATACTGATGGTGCAATACAATTTATGTTGAGCGGCTTTACTTTTGTACAAGGTGAAGTGTTTGCTATGTGCCAGGGAGCTGGGATATAACAACAACACCTCATCCATGCTTAGGCACTACAGAGCTTTGCATGAGAATAAGAGGAACACCGATTGTGGAGCAAGACCAGGTGAGCCATCAAATGCAATGATAATAAGATAAGATAGAACTTTATTAATCCCTCGGGTGGGTTCCTCTGGGAAATTCGACTTCCAAAAAGCACAGCACCGACCGAAGTTACAGTTACAGAATTGTTATATATATATATATATACACACACACACACACACACACACACACACACACACACACACACACACACACACACACACACACATATAAATAAATACAGAGACAAATATAAATAAAATATACAAAGGGGATAAATAGAATAAATAGGAATAAAAATACAAGTGAATTGCACATTTCAAGTATGGAGTCTATTGCACCGTTGACTATTAACAAAGGTATTGTACAGTGAGGTGAAGAGGCACTACAGCTTAGTTGTTCCCTCCTTTGTCCTCCTGTTTCCCCTCCCTCTCCCCTCCAGAGAGGAGTTAAACAGTCTGATGGCGTGTGGGACAAAGGAGTTTTTAAGTCTGTTAGTTCTTGTCTTGGGGAGAAGCAACCTGTCACTGAACAGACTCTTCTGGTTGTTTATGGCCGTGTGCAGAGGATGCCCAGCATTGTCCATAATGTCCATCAGTTTCTTTAATGTCCTTTTCTCTGCCACTGTCACCAGAGTGTCCAGCTTCATGCCGACCACAGAGCTAGCCTTCCTGATCAGTTTCTCCAGCCTGGATGAGTCCTTCTTTGCTGTGCTGCTCCCCCAGCACACCACAGCATAGAAAAGTACTCCAGCAACCACCGACTGGTAAAACATCCTCAGGAGCTTCCTGCAGATGTTAAAAGACCTCAGCCTCCTGAGGAAGTACAGTCGGCTTTGGGCTTTTTTATACAGGTGCTCTGTGTTGCATGACCAGTCCAGTTTATTGTCCACCCACAGCCCGAGGTACTTGTACTTGTTGACCACCTCCACCTCCTCCCCCTCTATCTGAACCGGCAGTGGACCTTCTCTGGACCTCCCGAAGTCCACAACCAGTTCCTTAGTCTTTGAGGTGTTGAGTTGCAGGTGGTTTGTGTGACTCCATGCGACAAAGTTCCTCACCAGACTTCTGTACTCCTCTTCCTGATCATCCCAGATACACCCCATGATGGCTGTGTCGTCTGCAAACTTCTGAATGTGGCATAATTCAGAGTTGTAGCAGAAGTCAGAGGTGTACAGGGTGAAGAGAAGAGGGGACAGCACAGTTCCCTGTGGTGCTCCTGTGCTGCTGACCACTGTGTCAGACGTGATGTCCTTCAGCCTGACGTACTGTGGTCTGTCGGTGAGGTAGTCGGAGATCCAAGCCACCAGGCAGGGGTCCACCTCCATCCTGTTCAGTTTTTCCTGAAGCATACAGGGCCGGATGGTATTAAAGGCACTGGAAAAGTCAAGAAACAGGATCCTGACCGTGCCTTTTCCCCCATCCAGGTGTGAGTGGGCTCTGTGTAGGAGGTACAGGATGGCATCCTCCACTCCGACACCCGCCTTGTATGCAAACTGTAGTGGGTCCTGGGCATGTTGTACCTGTGGTCGGAGGAGGTTGAGGAAGAGCCGCTCTAGAGTCTTCATAAGATGTGACGTCAGTGCCACCGGTCGGAAGTCATTCAGCTCATTGGGCCGGTTCTTTTTGGGGACCGGGACGATGCAGGATGTCTTCCATAGGGCGGGCACTCTCCCCAGTCGCAGACTGAGGTTGAAGACTCGTTGTAGCGGCTCCCCAAGTTCAGCAGCACACGCCTTTAGCATCCTAGGACACACCTTGTCTGGGCCTGCTGCCTTTCATGCTGTAATGTTACTAAATGATATAACAATATTATACAGCTGTTATAAGTTACGTGCGTGATATTTATATCTGTGCTTTGTCTTTATTGTCTTTCCTCAGGAGAACAATCTCAAATAGATGAAGACCTGGTTACCATGGTGATTGAGGACTCACAGCCATTTAGCATTGTGGAGGACAAAGGAGTTAAAAGATTTGTTAAATCATTAAATCCCAGCTATGTTCTCCCCACTAAAGGTTATAAAAGAGGTGAAAATTTAGTTTTTACTGAATAAAATATGGGCAGGACTGAGGCTCAAAGCCTCAGTGTGTAGCTGTCCATACCTCAACGTTACAAAAGCACAACTACTGTCCACACCCCAACCACACCTCACCTCACAGTAAATGATCATTTCCATTTCAAGCATTTCCAAATAATCATTTCCCATACTGCCACTATAAATATACACAGTATACTGCCATCACTACAATATACATGTTTTACACACTCCTTTTGTTGTTGACATTTACAGGCTGTGTGCAAAATGCCACACTCTTCAAATTCATGCCAGCTATTATTTTTACGTCCAGTAGGTGTCCTGCTAGAGCAAATGAAGCTTCAAGAATTTCCTCATTACCTGGTGTGTGTATTTATAGTTGGTGTCTGCCTGTGCTCCTCGTCGGCTTGTCTGCATTCGTCTGTGTGTCTCTGCTTTAATCTGCATTCCTCTGCGTTCTATGGTGTTTCGTTCCTGTCTCTGCGTCGCTCTGCCCCGCACCCCTTTTGTATGGTCTCAGGTTTGTCTTTAGTTTCTCCCAGTTTAGGTTTGTAATTGCTCATGGTGCGTTGATTGTTTTTGCCACCACCACCTCTGTGAATAAACGTCACTCGTATCATCAGTTTGCTGCATCTTGGGTCCTCCTTTTCCTCCACACCACACAGCTCCCTCCGCCAGCCGTGACAGTGATAAAGCGATATATCTTTCAGCCCAATTCTACTTTTTCTACATAATCTATCATACAAAATGTAATCAGATGGAAAAGTCTCTTTTTAAAACTTGTTTTATTAGTTTTAATCTTTTAACTTTATGCATCAAGCAAACATTTAATTATCTGCAACATTCTCTGACTGGAATAAATTAGTTTAACATTTAAACCTATTTTCTGCACATTCCAGCTCATAAAATAAAATATTTGTGTGTTTACACTCACTCTTTCAAATAGATGCAAGTAAAACACAGCAGAAAATAAATAAAGTCAAAGACTCAGCGGTCCTGTTGCTCTATTTTCACCTGTAAAGCAGGAGTGGGGTAGGCGGAGGTTTACCCTGGTGCAGGTGTGCCGCAGCGGTCAGTGGAAGAATCCGCGAGTTTCTCTGTGAGTTTCCCATTACGTCGTAGCTACTCGGTGCTTGTTTGGAAGTTTAGGGGTTTTTTCGCTGTAAAAAGAAGTTTTCTTCCCACGCACAGCGGACACTAATGTTTTTGTCACTTTTTATGGAATCAAACTCAAAGTAAGGTCAGTACTTCCACGCTTTAAACACTGCACGCTCATACTCTCTCTGCACTCGATATGTGATCCATTGTTGATCTGCACACAGCTGTTGTCACAAACGTCGCACTCGCTTACGTCACTGTCGTGAGACATTCTCGCAAAAAATCACGGTTTTAGTAACGCAGTAACGCAGCGTTCCTACGGGAAAGTAACGGTAATCTAATTACCGTTTTTGCAATAGTAATCCCTTACTTTACTCGTTACCTGTAACTTTACTTTACGCGTTACCTCGTTACCTTGTAACAAGGTAACGCGTTACTGCCCATCTCTGGTCTTGATGCATGCTCAATATTCCAGGCAAGGAAATCCCAAAACATGGATTCTGTTCATCTGGACGTTTTCAGCGGGAGAAACGTTTCATCATCATCATCCAAGTGACTTCTTCAGTCTCAGCTGACTGCAGGTTTCCAACCTTACACATAATGACTGACACTGGCACCAAACTATGGGCCGAGAGGTCAGTTTCATGCTCATTGATATGCATGACTATTGATCAACGGTGATTTATCAGTCGTCCGGAAAACACAGGTGAAGCACCGGGCAGCAAAGTGGCATTAAACAGGCCCAGCTCACCTGTGTAAGAGCTGCACCAGCTTTCAGAGCACCAACAGCAACAAGCTTTTATTTACAGAGCTTATCTACACAACTGACAGCACAACAGGGAAGAAGGAAAAGAGAAGTAATGAGAACAGACGAGTTTTTATATGACTGCTCCAATAATACTGCAGTAAAAGTACGCTGTTAAAGTAAACGTGGGTTTAAAGTTTCCGTCACTAACAGACAGAAATAATCCGTCTGTTATAAAATACTCGAGTTTGAATAAAAACTCATTTAGAAAGCCTTCTCCTTTCCCCTCCAGCAGCTTTGAGCTCTTCGAAACGATCGTTAACCCTCCGTGTGATAATATCAGCTTGTTTCACATCGTTATTAAGTCTACGTGATTCGAATCATTTCTCAGATTTAATACGTTTGTAGATTTGGAAACAGTTTGCAGGCAGAGCAGCAGTGAGTGAGCGAAAGCACAACTTCACAGATCCGTCATTAACAAGAATAAAAACATCTTTTCAGTTTTACCTGCCAGCAGGAACACGAAGCTCCACAGAATCATCTCACCACAAACTGACATGTTCGGGTTTCTGTTGAGCTTCTCCGGGTTTCGTCTGTAATCAGAGGAGAGGGCAGAGAGCGAAGCTGAGAAATGATGATGTCTCGTTTTTGTTTTGAGGAACTCTCCTCTCTGACTTGGCTCTGTTAGTCTGACCAGCCCCGCTCCTTTTGGAGTTACTTCCTTTCACATTTTATATGCGATCAGGCCTGAAATCATTCGTGCAAAGAAAAAGAAAAAACGAGAAAAGAAAATCAGTTTATTGCAAACAGACTGAAAGATTCTCAACAAGATGAAGTTTGTTTTTATCACAGAAACACAAGAGAGTTGTCAGTCTGGAAATAAATGAAGCACTGCTTTGAAAATGAAAAATTCTGCAAGGTTTTTTCTTCCTCTTTTCTATTTCAGAAGCACAAGGAGATATTGCAACAGAGGACAGAGAGTTTTCACAATCATGAGCTCTGCAGAGCAAATATAGATCTAAAAAGGTTTCAGACCGACACAAGTGCAGAGTAAAGGACAGACAGCATAACGAGGAGAGGGGATCAGGAAGAGGCAAAGAACGGGTTTTAACCCAGTGGGACCCCAGAGGGTTAATCCAGACATGACTTTCAGGACAGAGAAACAGCATTTCAGTCTGGATGGAGGCTGAAACATAAAAATGAAGCTATATTTATGAACCTATCCCCCTTGTTATGGATATGGTCCACATCAGATGCATCTGTGGTTCAGCTCTCTGAGGTTTATCAGTAGTTCAGCTAAAACTAACGTCACAAAAAGCTGCAACTTCAACAAAGCGCCAAACGGATCAGCTCGATCTGCAGCTTCTCCTGTGGTCGCTGCGTTTACTTCGGCTTCTGTGAGTGTGACTAAGAAGTGGCTTCAGCTTCGACTGGCTACTGAAGAGCGGACCACAGCAACGTCAGCTTCCTCCACAGAAGAAAGGACAAAGTTATAAAAGGGACTAAAACTGCAAATGAATGCATCAGAGGACATCCACTCAACACTCAGTCAGAATAGATCACACACACACAAGCACAAAATGTTAACGTACACAGATGTGGAGTTTCCATCTGCACAGCTGAAACATCTGTCCATCCTCCCCGTCCTCCTGTGTCGTTTGTTTGGCATGGACGGTGGAGATGATGTCCAGATGCTGATGTCCCCCACAGCTCGGCTGCTTTCACGTTGGCCACCTTCGTGTTGGGCGTTGCTGAAGACCGCAGACAGAAATAAAAACACAGAACGCTCTTCAGGAGTTAACTCTTTGCAGGGTTGTTCTGCATCCTGAATTTTGCTCATTTTTAGTGAACACAAAATTCACATTTTTGCTCTTCCTGTTCATCATTAGGACAACAAACTCCTCCAGAAGCCTCAAGATTCTTAAATTCTTATATCCTGTATTTGTATCATTGTTGTGCCTCATCGTTACATCTAAACGATGCTAAGAATACACTTATTTATTTTGTGGGTTTGATTGTGTGAAGTCATCTTACAGGAACTGCTTTCTCGCTGACCTGCTTCTCCAAAATTGCCCAGAAACGTTTCTTTTTTTGGTACTTCCTCTGAAAACAGCCTTTCACGCTCGAATCAGCCCACGTCCTCAAGGTGAGAAATTAAAAAAAGAAACCGTTTTTTCTGAGCTGCATCCTGCTGGTGCAGTTTCATCGGCACGGATGTTTCCTGCTAAAAAATTCCATATTTACGAAATGATGCAACAAGAACAAAAGTGCTGCTCAGGGAAGCTTTTCAGTATTTATCCTTCTCCCTCTGAGCGAGAATGTGAACAAGAGTGCAGAGTACAGTGCAGAATACAGTGTACAGAGTACAGAGTACAGAGTAGAGTACAAAGTAGAGTACAGTATAGAGTACAGAACACAGTACAGAGTACAGAGTACAGAGTAGAGTACAGAGTACAGAGTAGAGTACAGAGTACAGAGTACAGAGTGCAGAGTAGAGTACAGAGTACAGAGTAGAGTACAGAGTACAGAGTACAGAGTAGAGTACAGAGTACAGAGTAGAGTACAGAGGGTCTCCAGAGGGTTCAGTCAGACATGTTTTGCAGACCAGTGTCAGTGAAGAAATTATTTAAATTACACAAACATAAGAGACAAACTCACACTTCCAGTCGTCACAGTCGCAGACGGTGCTGAGAGGAGGCTCCAGCACCCGAATGTAGACAAAAAGCGCAGAAACAAACTCAGTATTACGTGAAAGCGAGACGTTTATTATGGCTGATGGAGAAATACAAGGAGAACCGAGAAAACAACTACAACAAAAACTGGAAAAACTCAACATGAAAAACTCTAAATGTGAAACTTGGCATACATAGATACCTGGAACATGGAGACTTGACGCACAAGACAACAGACGACGTGACACTGAACAGAGGAAGACAGAGGACCTAAATGCAGCAGGTCCAGTTAGCATCAGCTGAAGGTCGTCAGGTCCTGCACAGATCACCTGAGGCTGAGAAGAGTCCCACAGGTCTGGAAAACCTCCTGTGTGCTACCAGTGCCAAGGACTCCACATCCCAATGACCTCAACAGCTACAGGCCGGTGGCTCTGACATCCCACCCGATCAAGACCCTGGACACCGGTCCTGGTTCAACCCCTGGTGAGCTCATCACTGGAACCACTTCACCTGGAGACCGCTGGGAGCACTGTGTTCATGTTCTTTGATTTCTCCAGTGCCTTCAACACCATTCTTCCCACAGTCCTGAAGGACAAGCTGGAGACTCAGGAGTGGACCGTCACCTCACTACATGGATCCTAGACTACCTCACTGACCGACTACGGTATGTGAGGACTCAGGGCTGTGTGTCGGACAGTACGGGGGCCCCACAGGGAACGCTTCTGGCTCCGTTCCTCTTCACCATCTACACTGCAGACTTCTCCCACAACTCCACCCAGTGCTTCCTGCAGAAATTATTTGACGTCTCTATAAGGCTACGTTCACACTGCAGGTCTTAATGCTCAATTCCGATTTTCGTTCACACTACAAATAAAATGCGACAGCAAACGCGCTCTAGTGTGAACGCTCAAAGCGGCCGCATGCGCAAAAGAAGACGTCACACACAACATGCTCTGTTTAGACCCAGAGCAACAGTATTGTTTGACTGATGGCCCTTAATATAAAGACTTCGGTCTTCACATTTCCCAATTTTTGCTTTAAGTTATTTTGTTATTTACATAATAATGTAAATAACCTAATAATGATCCTTATTGCCGTTTAAGAGAGGAGCGGTGCTTCAAAGGATAGCTGCAGATTTCTGTCAGAATCTGCAGATTATACAGTACAAATAAAATGTTTACGTTGTCTTCCCAACAGTTTCACTGACATCTACACTGGATGGCCAGGAAGCGTTCGCGATGTCTTCTCGGGCGCTTCTCTGGCGCTGATAATTGGCTTCAGTCTTGTGTCGGTGACGTAAAAGGCGGATTTAATGCGACTTGACCGTTCAAACAGCAGTCGCTTTCTAAAACATCAGATATGTATCGGATTCAGGACCACATACGAAAGTGACCCAGATCGGATTTGAAAATATCGGATTTGCGCCGTTCACACTGTCATAGCATGATCGGATATGGGTCGCATAGGGTCAAAAAATCGGATTTGATGCGCTTTCGCCTGCAGTGTGAACGTAGCCTAATAGTCGGCCTTATCACTGATGGGGACGACAAAGAGTACCAAGAACTGACCCATGGTTTTGTGGACTGGTGCCGGCAGAACTACCTCCAGATAAACACCAGTAAAACCACGGAGCTGGTGGTAGACCTCCACAGGCACAAACATCCTCCACCGCCACCACCGAACATCCAAGGTATGGATCTTATCTTATCTTATCTTATCTTATCTTATCTTATCTTATCTTATCTTATCTTATCTTACACAGAAGAGTAATGAGGGAAGTGGAAACACCTGGAAACACAGCTGACACAAATGAACATGATGCCACAGGGGAAGCAAAACTAAACACACTGAACATGGAAACACAAGACTGATTGACAACTGGACGTGGGAAACACAGACATGAAGCATAAAGCACACTGGGAAGATTGAATGATACACAAGGAGAGGAACATGGAAACAGATAAGGGGAATGAAGATATAACTAAAAATCATGCAGGAGGACAAGACAGGCTTTCACAGGAAACAGAAAACAACACACACACAGGGGAGCATGGATGAAATTGTATCTAAACAAACCTAACTAAGACACACTAATAACAACACACGAACTTACCATTACTCTGATACATCATAAGAAATCAAATATACAAAATAAACTTGCTGCGTCACAGACTGACAACAGAGCTCGGTACACTCAGTACTGTACGTGAATGTGATGTCTCATAGTGTGAGAAAACAAACCAGACAGCAACCAAAACCCAGAAGGCAGACACGCCCAACAACTGAGCTTTCAGTAGAGACGCGTCGAGCCTTGACGCTGCCAGTGATGCTGATCTTGAACAAAGCACGATTCCTCTGCAGGGCCTGCAAGAAGCAGCTGCCAAACCAACACGTAGCCCCCCAGGCAGGGTGGACGGGGTCATCACACTAGAACAATACCATTGTAGTACTGATGGAGGCTGTGAAGGAGATTTATGAATTTATCCAACTGCCTGCACCACAGAGCATGAAAGTCAGACTGCAGCAGATCAACACAAAGTGCTGCAGAGCTTCCTGCAGCTTCTCCTGTGGTCAGTGTGGCTCCTTTCAGTTTGTGGGTGAGATTGTGACTTCAGCCTCGACTGGCTAGTGAAGAGTAGACGACGGCATTATCGACTTCCTCCACGTGCCTGTGAAAACCAAGAGAAAACTCCACATGAGCGCCATAAAAACATCTGGGGTTAGAGTGAGCGCCCACATCTGGCTCCCAACAGGGCTGAGCCCCCCGCACCACAGTTACACCACTGTAATGTTTGCAGACGATACCACGGTGGGGGGACTCATTTCTTGGGGGGGGGTGAGTCAGTCTACTGCGTTCTTTTATTCTTCTTTTGCAGATTTGTGTCTCTATTTTGTTGTTCAATGCTTTGTTGCTACAATGACAATAAAGATTCTGATTGTGATGATTGGAAAATTCCATATGTGAAAAAATAAAGAGCCACGAAGTCCAAGAGTTAGAATTAACTGCTGTTTGTAGCTACTGTTAGCTGTTAGCTGTGTTTTATGTTTGTAGGGTAAACGAACAAGTAAAAACAAGTAACAAGTAATAATGATGTTTGTAACTTTTATTCATTTTAATTTAGTTCCTCTGATTTTCTTCTTACGTGTCTGTTTCTCACCTGAAAATCTAAAACACTACAAGCATCAAGCAAAGTCTTTCCATCCTCACAGCTGAACAGCTGTCGGTCCTACCTGCTCCTCTCATGGCTGTGTCTGAACTGCACCGAGGCGTAGCTGACGTCCTCCACAGCTCGGCTGGTTTCCTGTCGGTGACTTTCTTCTTGGATGCTGCTGTAGATGTCATGAGGATGCTGAAAACAGCCAGAAATACAGACGCGTGTAAAGCCATCACTGCCGAGCTCCCCGGCCCGATCCCTAACCGTATGAACCAATATCTTACGATCAACTATTATTATGTTTTTGACCATTAATTGCAAAGACTTTGGAGAACCATTAAAGGAAAACAACGTTTAGGATTACAGTCACTGAGAACCATTTAGATTTCACGTAGTCGTAGACAGATCATAATCTCCCCTCTGTGCTCATTTAAGATGAAATATTCTACGAGAGTCCGAAATTATCTTTGAAATCATAACTCACCTTTGGCTCCATCTCACCTCCATCAGCTCTCTGATGCTCTGCTGCTGCCAGCTTCCTGTAACAATATGACTGTCATGTCAACAGGAACCAGAAGATCTATCAAAAATCATGAATGTAGAAAATCAGGGGCAAAGAGAAATTGCATTATCATGCAAAAAAAACCAAAACATTTATGTGTTTTGTTGTTTCTGTGTGTCTGCAGCTGATTTCCCACAAACTCAGGCAGCTTCCACGGTTGTCCTTTCACACAAACACAGCAGGAGCTTATCTGCTTTGTGTACACCAGTGGAAATAGTGTGAATTAGGAGAAGTAGCTGCTCGGACGGAGTGAGCAGGAGGCCGTGCTGAACCAGAGTTTTTACCACATTTCTCACATGTAACTCACAGAAAACATAAACTGACCTTGACTTGCTGCCTCGACATTATTTTGTCTTATTGTATCACAATTATGTGCCAGAGACCAGCTTCGCTTCCCCTTCTCCTCCGTTGTGGTCATCAGCACATAACAATAATTTAATGTAATTCTTTCTTGGATACTTGTTTGTCTTTTGACTGTTACGCACAACAGATTCTTTCATTATGCAAAAGTTTAATAATGAACAGACTAAATTCATCTTCTCAGATCGAGGTTTAGAACATTTTGAACCCAAAATATCTTTTCTGCACTGTGGTGAAAGTTTATGCACCGATTTGTATGATTTCTGTGTAAAAGTGTGCTTTAAACATCTTTCATTTTATACATTACTATCATAATCCTAGAGCAGTTCAGAGCTGCAATGCTTGTGTAAAAATAAACGCAGAGTTGACAGTTCTCGCTGCTGCTTCTCCCACTTACATTTGGGGAAATGACTTATATAAAAATGCAGGCAAGTATTCATCAATACTTCGTGTTTATAGTTCTGATATGTTTCCGCTCATGTTCAAAACTTTCTGCACACAAAACATGTCACACACGTCTGTGTTTCCTGTGACTTTTTGGGATCATTATCATTAAAATAGCACTCATAAAATAAAACAAAAAATATAATTTACAGTGTGTGTGTGTGTGTGTGTGTGTGTGTGTGTGTGTGTGTGTGTGTGTCCTTTAAGATTCTTTACACATTAAAAACCACCAAAATGTTAAAAATTTTAAATGTAGAAGAAACATAAAGTGTGATTTGTACCTTCTGATGATGAAGATGAAGAGTATGAATGCGATGACAGCCAGCAGGACACCCGACACCACGCCGACTATCAGAGGCAGGTTACCATCAACTGTAAAAATCAGAAATAATTCATAAAGAAATTTACAAATAAAGAAACAGACTAGACAAAAATCCCCTTGTTCTCCAAAAAACTGTAAACTTTTATTTATTTTTGCATCATTTATGGTTACGATGTTTGTGGTTTTCCATATAATTTATCATGAAGATATCTAGAAATCCTCACACACCAGTCTGGTTTCCCTTCATCGGCTTACTGTGGAAATTCAAATGTTTTTAAATATTTTAATTGCATTTAAATCCCTGCAAAGCCCGACTCCTCCCCACATAACAGACCTGCTGAGACCTTATTCCAGCCTCGTGGCCTCTCTGCGTTTTAACTGTTCAATACTCTGCGTTTAAATCCAGAGGTGACCAGGCTTGCAGCTGTGGCACCTCTGAAACAGTCTTCATCAGAACGGCTGAATTAGTGGTTTGTTTTAAACAGCAGCTGAAGCTCATTTTTAGAGGCTCACTTCTCCTTTATCTTTCACACTCTGGCTACTTTACACCGAATATCCATGAACGAATAGAAGTATGCTTGAATCTCTCTGTTCTATAAAGTGCTCTACTGACTGACATCAGCCCCCTCTGCTGTGTATTAGAGAAACGCCTGCAGTGTATTTACAGTTTGTGTAATATCTGAAAAAGATACCAGGCTGTCGTTCCTCCGCCTCCACCTGCAGGCTGTACGGCTCAGAGAGAGTCTCCATGATGCTCTTCAGAGCACAGGTGTAGTTCCCAGAATCCTCTGCAGTCACATTGTCGAGCTCAAGAGAGGAGCCAGTGTCTGAGAGGGCGTGGCCATCTTTGAACCAGGTGACCTCCAGTTGGTGGAAAGTGCAGACTGAAGCGCAGAGCAGTGTGACGGTTTCACCTCTGCTCACCTTTTTATCATCACTGGAGCTGATTATTCTCATTTTAGACCCATCTAAAATCAAAGTGATCATTAGTTTCATTGAACGCTCATTTATGTTTTTTTTATTAATGTCAGGATATTTTTCTCTCACCAACAACCGTGACAGTCACTCCTGTCTTGTTAGTAAAATGTCCTTCAGGACGATCAGCTTCCATCCTGAAGCGAAAGCTTGCGTTGTCTCTCTGCTGAACATCTCTGATCTGTAAAGTGCAGTTTATCTTCTTGTCTCCCAGATATTGATAACGAGGATCGATGTTTGCTGAGTCACTGTCATACACAGATGGAGTGCTGCCCTGACAGAGTACATGGTTCTTACACCAGCGGACTCTGACGATCTTTAGAGGAACTTCTCTCTGACCATCACTGAAAGACTTCAGAGGTGTGAAGGTGCAGGGGAGGGTGACAGTGGACCCTCTGACAGCACAGGTAGACGTGAAAGGATAGACCACAGTTTGACCCACAGCACCTGGAAACAGATGGTATAGAAGTAATTATATGTATATGTTCACAGGCGTGAGTTTCTCAAAATGGGCTCATTGAGTGCAGCACGGATAAGATCTTGGAGAGGCTACGGCTGCTGTGAACACTCAGAATAAGATCTCTGACTGCAGACTGGATACATCTCGGAAGGGCTCGCTCGGAATAACATCTCTGGGCGCAAATTGGATGACATCTCGGGGAGGCACACTGCCGTGAGTTCTCAGAATCGGCTCCTTGAGCACAAGAAATGACAACATCACAGAACGCAAGTATGGCGAAGCTCGCGGCTCTCCGACGGGAGATTGAGAGACCGGTGTTGGACTGTAGAACTGCTTTGAAATTCATATGAGCTGTTCGCACTAAAGTAAAAAATACCATCACTTCATGCGGAGACCCTCTCGGCACCAGCTGCAAGGCCGGAGCTGAACAAAACACCCTGATGACGACTGTGTTGAGTCTGTTCCTTCCCATTCCATGCAAGGCCACCTGGGTTGGCTGGAAGACTGTTTACTTAGCCTGGCAGGGCGAAGGACACTGTCTCAGCTGAACTATGGACACGCACACACATACATATACTGATACTGATAAGCACTCACTGACGCATCACCCTCCCTATCCCGGATCCAACGCCACCTCCAACGCTTACCTCCCCTCTGATGTGGACATCGGTTCAGCTGGAGGCGCAGTCGAAGATTGCAGCGGTCCCAGATCAGATGTACACACTGGAACTCTTCCCCATGTTGCTGTCTGTGTTTGTTGTGCTATGGTGTGTTGATATCTGTGCATTCCTGTATTATCCTTCTGTGTTAGACATTTTGATGTTTTTTTCCTGCTACCTGGCCTGACCTGTCTCCCCAATGTGATGTTTCTGTATTGTATGTACGGTCGGCAAGGTCTGTCATCTCGGTTGTGGGCAAAAGACCTGCAACTGACAAATAAAGGCTAGCTCATCATCTCGTCACTATAACTACTGATGCAATAACACATGCTGAAGCCCACCGTAACATCCTGCAAGTGTTCCAAGGAACACAACACGTATTAAACATGCAAACCATCATTTCACTAGCTGGGCCCACGTCCTCGTTTTAGGTTTGACAGTGTTTGAGTAGGTAAAGGTGATGCTTGGACATGAATTGAGCTGCGGTTTGGGGAAGGCCTCCAAGGATGGAGTGGGGCACGTAAACGAGAATGAACAGCTTGCAGAAACCTATATAGATGACAACAGGAAGGAGCGTGTTTAGAGGCGTGGTCCTGCTCCTGAAATTCTGATACATAATCTCCAACGAATAAAGCTCACGTGTGCTTTGCATGGTTCACTGTTAAGGTAGCGGGCCACTGATAGCGCCATCTAGTGGTCGCTATGACACTGAAAGGCCTACATGAGGACATCAGGCCATGTAGTTTATCGAGTATGGAGGGCGCTGAGCTAGAAGGATGTTCAAACCATGGACTTATTATTGTATAGCAACAAAAAACATGTATAAGAAATAAAGTGTTTTTCTCTCTGTCTATCGATTTCCTCACACACCAGTGTTTGTTCTCCCTCACATCTCCGGCCTGACATACGAGCAGATGAGTTGAGGATGTACAGCCTGTGAAATGAAATTATACGTCTATCTGTACTTATATTGCAAAATTAAATATTGAAGCAGTTACTCAGCTACATTTACCTGAAAGCTTTAATCATTCGTGTGTTACATTAGGATTGTGCCACGAAGAGTTTATGATATTGTGTAATATTGTGTTAAAGTAAACTTTCTTCAACCTCTTTTGACTGAGATTCATTTATAGATATTACTTTAAAAATGTACTTTTGTTACTTTATTATTAGTACATATCTCCAGTGTGACTGAATGTAAACATTTCTGCGAGTTTTCTGAATTCCTGCAGAGTGAAGTAAGACTCACTGACAGCTGTCACACACACCACACAACACTTATTAGGCTCAGGCAGCAGTTACTTTGTCACATTTGTCACAGTAAGTTTAAACTGTTTTTTGTTTTGTTTTTTCATTAATGAATGAAATGTTAAAAAAAGCAAATATGTTTCATAGCAGTGCAGCCAGGGTCATCATTTCAGCAAAAAGAGAAAAACAATGAGGTCATAAATTCTTTTACACTAATAAATCTGCTCAGACGCCCTTCTGCTTTCTTCTTTCCTGTTCCTGTGACAGTGTCGGCTTTCTCTGGAGGTTAAAAACTAATAAAAGCATCACTTCAGTCTCACCTGTCAGGAGGAACATGAAGCTCCACAGAGTCTTTTCAGTGCAAACTGCCATTCTCAGTCCTCTGCTGACGTCCTTCAGTTTAACCTTCTGCTGCTTCTGCTGGAGCGAGAGAGAGAGCGATGGCTAACAAGCAATTGTCTGGTGGTGTTTGTGACTGAAAGTGACATTGGGACAGACAAACTTCCTTTTATTTCAGCAACTCTTTTCTCTTTGACTCTGTTTTGTAAAGTTGCTAACTCCCTCTGTTAAAGTAACTTCCTTTCTTACAAAACGCTGTCACTGTTTTTAACGTAATTTCCAGAAACAGTGACAGTGTGAAGCAACTCCCATCATGCAGCAGTAAGAGGTGTTTCTTTCCACTGTTGAACCTGTGGTGGTGGTTGGAGAAACATCAACAATCACTCCCTGATAACGACTGTGTGATGACTATTCTTCCCATTCCATGCACGGCCACCTGGATTGGCTGGAGGACTGTTTACTTAGCCTGATAGGATGAAGGACACTGTCTCAGCTGATCTCTGGACACGCACACACACACACTTACACTGATAAGCACTCACTCATCCCCCCTCCCTTTCCAACGCCTTCGATGCTTGTTGCCCTCTGGGAACACGAGGCGGGTCTGGGCCCGCGCTGGAGACGGCGCCGTTGCAGGATGGCCGCTGTGTTGCCTGGGATTACTCCTCATCCCCTTCCCAACCCTGTGGCTTGTCATGTCTTCACAATGTTGTGCTGTGACATTCATGTGCTTTTTTGTGCAGAGGAGTTTTTTTTGTTTGCTGTTCTTGTGCTGTCCTACCATGGAAGCACAGCATGAGTGGAGGTCTCTTTTTTTCCTCTTGTACCTTCCCGTTGTTGTGGACATTTCAGTGTTTTTCTGCAACGCTACCGATCTCCGACTTGTAACCCCATGTGATGTCTGTGTTATGTGTGTAAGGTCTGGGGGGGGGAGGTCCCATTTCACTGCAGGGCAACCTGCTTGTGACAAATAAAGCTTTGATTGATTGATTGATTGATTGATCAGTGACCAGGTTATGTTGGCGTTGCCCCCACTGATGGAAACACTTTGTCCTAGTTTGTGTGGATCTGGCCACCAGACGGCTGATTCGATCAAATATTCAAAAACGTTCAAACATTTCACGGCCTTTGAATTTCAGTGCAGAAATTACTGGAATCTGACCGAGCTTTGAGGAATAGTCATAGTCAAAGTAAACTTTATTGTCATCTTTGTACAGTACAGTACATAGCAGAGACGAGACGGCGAGGCTCCAGTTCCATTCAGTGCAAAAGACAACAATAAATATAAGAAGAGTAAGAAATAAATATACACTTTAGGACTTAGGTAAAGGTAAAAGGTATAAATAGTAGGTGAAGCACACAAACCTTGATAAAGTTGGATCCTTTTGTTAGAGGTGAGATGGGAGTCTGGGGCAAGCCTGTTGTAGGTTGGTAAACCTGAGCACAGGAGAGGAACACATATTGTAACCTGTGTGTAACATATTGTATTATTTAAATAAGTTTAGCCTGTTACTGTCACGGTCTGGCTGGCAGACCGTGGGGATGTGGGGAAAGGAGGACCCAAAACGCAGACTCTGCGATGCAAACAGTGCTCTTTATTCACAGTGAAAAGCTGTAAACACAATAACTCCCCGTTGCTCCCTTGAACCCCGTGTGCATGCTTCCCTCCGACGTCTGTGCTCGTGCTCCCCGCTGTTGTGTTTCCGCACACCCCGTGCGTGCTGCCTTTCTGGACCACTCTTCCTCCTGCAGGGAAACCATAGAAGCAGCCGTCAACACTAACCCTCGGCAGGTACATTCAAACAGCACTGACACACACACACACACACACACACACACACAGACACACACACTCACACACACATACACACACACACACACACACACACACACACACACACACACACACACACACACACACACACACACACACACACACACACACACCCTGCCTATACATACGAGTGGGACACAGACTAACACAGCATTGTGCAGAAAAACACACACATCACCAAATAATAATAATACTAATAACAACAACAACAACAGTCCAAACTGCTCACAGACCCCCGAGTCCTCCAGAGCCGGGTCCGTGACAGTTGCTGTTAGTGTCTTGTAGCAAATGTAACCCACATAGTTTCCTTAGGGATTATTAAAGTATTCTGATGACATCCTACAATGAGTTGAAACATTAACTTGTTATTTATTCCTGCTTAAAACAGGTTATTAATGGTTACAAAATCTTATTTGGTTTTCGTATGTACCTGTTTTCAGTGATATCAACTTTAATAGTTGTTAATAGTTAACACTAACAGACCTCTCTGCATTAAATCATCCCTGTTATTAATCTCTGTCTCTCTTCCACAGCATGTCTTTATCCCGTCTTCCTTCTCTCACCCCAACCAATCACAGCAGATGGCCCCGCCCCTCCATGAGCCTGGTTCTGTCGGAGGTTTCTTCCTGTTAAAAGGGAGTTTTTCCTTCCCACTGTCGCCAAAGTGCTCATAGGGTTTCTCCGTTTCCTCTGTGGAATATTTACCTTACAGTATACAACACCTTGACACAACTGTTATTGTGATTTGGTGCTGTATAAATAAAACTTAGTTGAATCGAATTCCTGCTACTTCTGGTTTATACTGGTTTTGCTACTTGATGCTGTGCTCTTGAAGCAGATATGTTTAAGGGCCCTGTTAAAGGTAACAATTGTGACAGTGTGCTAATGCTGAGTGTTGACCAGAGACGATGTAAGAGAGAGACATTAAAAACTCGTGAGCTGAAATCTACTGAAGAATTCTGAAACATAAGCAAAACATCCAGTGGAAGAAATAAAAACTCAGAAAACTTTGAGCTTTGTTGTTTATGTGCTGACAGGTTTACATAGATAACACTGTCATGATGGTGAGGTTTGATTTTAGAAGGACTTGACTTGGACTTCTGATTCAATTCAGTTTAATTTATATACATCGCCAATAAACAGCAATAACCATTCAAGGCACCCTGTACTCTAACGCTAACACCAGCACATGCTCGACGAATATGTAAGCTCACATTTTTGGCTCCACTCCTAATTTTACAGCTTATTAAGAGACTTCCTGTACAGGTACATGGTTCCCTGGAGGAATTCCTCCCTTTTCTCATCCTTGCTTTTATCATTATAAACATCCATCATGTATCTGTGCATCTCTTTGGTATCGACAGGGCTCCACAGGCCCTCCTCCACCATCAGCTGCAGTTCACGCTCCATAGATGTTTTGTATTTGTTTCCAGACTCGGACTTTGGGTCCACTCTGGACATGCAGACGTAGCCCCCTGAAGGAGAAAAAAAAACCCAACAAAACCACAACAATTTATGACCTTTTTTGTTTTTTTGAAAAACAGAAAGTTTGCTCAGGTTTGCTGGACACTCGACTCTGTTTGTGTCGGTCCCCCGACTGAAGCCCACTGTTCCTCCTGGAGAGAGTGCCAGCTACAAATTGGGACCTGACTGGGCCGGCAGCGTCTCCTACTACTTCCTGTTTCCAGTGAGCTGCGTGTTTGGGGCCCTTCGTTGCGTATGACAGAGCTGGGCTGCAGTAAAAACAGTTTAGAGAGTCGTATCTGGACATGGTAACTGTAGGGGTGGGAAGCCGTTTCTTTTACAACCTTTTTCTCCTGTTCCAGGTAGGGAGACGGGTTAGAGGTTTGTATTTTCTTTTGGGGTTGATTCACTATAGGTAAGTTAGTTCTGATTCATTTCCAGTGTGTTTTGTTTGTTGTTTTGGCCATGCCCACCCTGACGCTCGCTACCTGTCAAGTTAATAAAACGACTAGTCATTGTAAAGCTGTGGCTGTGTGATTTACTTCTTTTTATTATTTTTCTTGTGTTGCACTCCAGCCCCCCCAGGCTGTAACATAATTAAAAATAATAACTGTTTTTACTGCAGCCCAGCTCTGTCACACGTCACAAAGGGCCCCAAACGCGCAGCTCACTGGAAACAGGAAGTAGTAGGAGAGGCTGCCAGCCCAGTCAGGTCCCAATTTGTATCTGGCCTCATTCCCTCTTCCACCAATGGTCAGCCTCCACCTGGAAACTTACATAACAGACATCACAGAGTACAAACAATGCCCCCGCATGGTGTGGCGAGTAACAGCACCACACGGCAACAATGACCTGGGTCATAACAACGTCTTCTAAAAATCACATCACAGCATTGATTATGTTATTATTGAAAGCTAAAGAAGAGTCTGAGTTCATCACATCAGATAAATGGTTTTAGATTAAATGGAAAAAAAATATCTCACTCAGATTAACATCAGTTTGTTTGTTTGAAAGTTGGTTGGTTACCTGGTTTAGTAGCTTTGCAGAGCTCCCTGATAACGCTGACCGGCACGTAATCATCACGTAAAGCACCAGTAATGATCACCACATCAAACCCACCTGAAACCAGAAGCAGACCAGGAGGGAGAGGAGTTAGTAAAATGAGTTATTTAGAGTTATTAGTTAGAGAGAAGTTAGTTACAGAGGAGTTAGAGGAGTTAGTTGTTTTGGGGTGAAAAGTTGGCATTGTCACGTTGTGGGTTTTTCTACGTTTTGGTTCCTCTTTTGTTTTGCACTTCTTTCTCGTGTAATGTTCTCGTGTTCCTTCCTCTATCGTGTCTTTGCAGTAAAGCCTCCTGTGTTCCTCTGTAAGTGTTTTTAGTTTTAATCTTCATCTCATGGATAGTTTCCTGTTTTACTCTGTGAGGTTTTTTCATGTCTTGTTTTTGCTTTTACTGTTTGTCTTCCCCCCCTCTTTCTTCTGTTTCTGATCCGTGATGCGCTGCAGTTTCAGACCATTATTGACATAAATATATTTTGAGCATCTAACTAATCGATATCCTCAATAAAAGTATTTTTTATATTTATAAAATTAAATAGGTAGCAAAAGTTTTGACTACATCAGCATTAGCACCGCCCCCTGACTGTAGCAAATGAATGATCAAATAGTTAATAGTTAAGTAATTAACTATCTTTTAAAGTAAAAAAAAAAACATTTTTAAGTTATTAATGACCAATTTCATTACTTATGTATTTATTTAGTTTTTTTATTTTGGCACTTTCAGTCCCCCATATTCTATAAAACCTCAGGTGTTGTTATTCTCAATTGTGCTGTTTTACTATCAGCTGGCGGTGCTGTCTTCTTGTCTGTGGTGCTAATGTGTCTGTCGGGTTATCTGCTTTGTTAGCTCAGAGTGTGAGTGTGATGTACCAGTCTGTGCAGGCAACGGGTCTGTTCCCAGTAAGGCCAGTTTGAGCTCCCGATAAAGGCCACTCTTAGCAGCTTGTTCCAGCATGCCCTTACTACCATCCACTCCCACAAAGTGTTTGAAGCCGAGGTCAAACATCTAAATACAGAGAAAAGACGATCAGTTCTGAGCCTGCTCCATGAACTCTGGATGTTCGTCTGAGGATGAATTTCACAGATTTTGAATAAGTGCTGAAATTTCCCACTTTCAAAAAGAATCACACGTAAGACGGTGAGTTCATGTTTGCATTTACTATTTTACAAAACTGATTTGGGATTCATTAAAATGTTATTGTTTTTCCATAATTAGATCAATCTGAACATGTCCTCACGTGTGATTCATAAAAATGCTGACCACAGTAAAACTTCCTGAATCCCATTTGTGACATCAGCATTTTAAACATCTACAGGTCTCAAATCAGCTCGGAGTGACGGCTCCTTCCAGCTATTGGAAGGTGCCACCTTCCAGAGTTTTCCAGTTATTGGTTCACCAGTTTTGCAGCCAGTCCAGATCCGCAGGCCACATCGAGAACCTGAGCGTCTCCACGACTTCCACAGAAGTGATCGTTCAGAAAATCTACGGCCAGCTGTGGTGCTCTGTACTTCATTGTCTCTGAATCCTGTCAACATAAAGCAGCGGAAAAAACAAAGTATTCTTATTGGCTGTTGGGATTTAGGCTGTCCAGTGCTGTTTTTGTCACACCCACATGTTTCAGATCATCAAACAAATGTGAACATTAGACAAACCGAGTAAACTGAAAATTTTTATTGATGATTTCATTTATTAGGGGAAAAACTTCCCAAATCTCCCTGCAATAATTGTCCCATAAATAATAACTAGTTGTGCCACACTTGGCGACAAGACCTGAAGTCAAGTGTTTGTGTTATCCTGCCACGAGTCTTTCACGTGTCTGCGGAGGAGCTCTGCTTACTCTTCTTTACAGAATTATTTGAATTTCCAGTTGTTTTCCAGCATGAGCAGCCTCTTTACGGCAATGCTCTGCTTGCTTTTTTCTTGTGACCTCCTGTGACATCATAACCATCTTCATCAGTTTTCCCGCGCTGCTCTCCTCCCTGAGTGTGTCCTGTCCTGCTCTCTTTCCTGTGGGACAGATGTCGCTCTCCCTCACGTATCCTCTGAAGCGTTTACATTTGGCACTCAGAGTGTCTCCACTAAATCAGATCTGATGGTGAATGTTCGGTGTTCATCGGGTCAGCTGTGCCACACAGAGTTTAGGTTTCAACGGCTCAATCTTCTGTAATAATGAAACTCTCCTCTGGATCGATCCTCCGTCGTCGGGGCTTTGTAACGCATTTCAGAGAGAAATAAGATGCGCTTACACTTTATTATTTCGTTCAGGAGTTTCTGCCTCATGAAACCACCCGACTGCATCTTTTTATATAAACTGGCATTTTTATAAATGAATCATTAGCTGATTTGCTCCACTGCTTTCAGTCATACAGCTGCGTCTCTTTGGTGAACTCTGGCAGCAGAGAACAGAGCGCACTGCGACCTAATCTGGGCTCGATAGATGACGATGCCAGCTCTGAGCGCTCATTTTGTATTTAAAACTTTCTTAGATTAAATAATCTGCTCTTACAACTCAATGTCAAACGAATAAACTGTGAACATTTCATCTGGTTTATCGAAGAACAAGAACAGCAGCTCACTCCGTCAGCTCCACACCTGTGAGTTTAGGGTTAGCGGGAGAAAATCTCAGGTCCAATCTGAAAGTTTTCGGGGGTTTTTGCTTGAGGTCAGGGCGGAAACATTCTGATTATTTGAGAAGAAACAAAGAAGAAACGGTAAGAACTGGTCTTCACTGCCAGACGGAGTCCAAAGACCAGTTAAAGCGCGTTTGATATTTATTTATTGGTTCACACAGTCAGCCCAGGAGGCCTTTCTTTCTCCTCACCTGTTCGTACGTCTCAGCCCAGCTGTTGAAAAAATCCGTAGTCTGCTGCGGATCGAAGCCTTCGCAGGACTGAAACATGACCCTCATATCGTCCACAGTTCTTCTGGAGCCCGACATGATGAGGAGCTGAGCTCAGACCTGGAGAGAGTGCAGCGGACTCACTGACACGTAGAGACCCGACTAACCTGACTGTGCCCGCCGGGCAGGTATGCACCACAAGTATCTTCGACACAGACAGGCTGCGTTGGTTTTAGCTGACTGCAGGAGAAAAATAAATGTTTAAGGTAAAGTATGACGACGGTTGATAGCTGTGGGTTTTTATTAATTACAGTGATCGATAAAAACGAACGATTCTCCGAGTCTGAGGCTGCAGTCCAAGCTGTTTAAAGGGATGACATCACTCATAAAAACATAAAACCATTTATTTTCTGAACACATGCACATTCCAGGGTTTGGGCTGCTGTGACTTCACATCTGAAAGAATACGAAGCATAAATGAAATGGATTCCTGAGTCTCTCTGCCTCTCATGGTGTAATGTAAAAAAGACCAAACATGGCAGCTCCTTTAAACTCGATGAGGATAAGAGTGAGCGGCTTCTAACAGATGAACAATGAGGTGACACTGAAAACGAACTAATCATTTGTCTGTTCTTCTGATATGTGTTTCCTTCAGGTGATGATCACTAAATGATTGCTCTCTTCAGATACTTTGTTACAGTTAAACACAATCAGATTTTCTCTGACCTGACTGATTGCTCTCTTCACATCTGTCAGACATTCAGTCCCCTACAGATGTGAGACTGTAACTTCTCATCCTGCTTGGTTTCATTGTAATTTATGAAATAGTTACGAGTTCCAACTCTTTTTAAAACGTGGACACCGATGTTACAGACATGAATTTACTTTACTTACTTTAGTGAAGAGCAGGTTTACACAGCCTACTCGTACTTTGTTGAAGTATTTGTGCTACTTTTGACTTTTACTCTGCTAATTTGAATCCAAATGTCATACTTTGTCATTTATTTTGCTGATCTTCAAGTCACAACACATCACAATCGCCTGCCAGTTTGTTACTCATGTAAATCATCTGTGACTCACATGTTACAAGCAACTCAAGCCAAGTTCAAACCCAGCAAAACAGTTTTTGTTGGCAGGTATTTCAGAAACTGTGGATCTGCTGTAATTCTCCCACAGTCGGGCCTGTCAAAACTTGAAAAAACCTGAAGGGAAGCCAGTATAGGAGAAATATGCTCTCTTTCTACTTACAACATGTGCTCAGCTCGGGTAACTAAAGCTATGCTGTCTGGTAAGGTAAGAACAGACCCGGACATGGTAATGCACATGTGTTTGACAGTTTATTTCCAGCAAAACGTTCAGAACATTTTCATGCTTTCGAGCAGGTGTGACGTTGTACAAGTACAGTGTCCCGGATTCGACAAGTGGCACAAAAACAAAGCAATGGAGGCCCAGTAGAGTGCAATCAGATGAAGAGTTTATTAAGAACACACGTGTGGGAAGAAGTACACAGCATCACATCTGCGGACTTCTTCTGCCACAAATACACAGAGAATGGTTTATATAACGTCAGCGTTAAACGCCCCTTCACGCATTCTGATAACATATTTTGTATTTCTAAGAACATCATTTGCATTTTGTACAGACAATGAGCAATTTTGAGAGCTAAGGTCAGACACAGAAGTTCCTCTTTCTAACATCTTTTCCCAAATATGGCGATGATTTCAGGCCCTGGAGGTTCCCGTGGACTTTTCTTCCTTTTGACCCATCTTCTGTCACCTGTTACTAAGCAAACTCAAATGCCAAAGGCTACAACAAGAAGCTGAATACATTCAGGCCTTCACTCAAGCCTGTTTCTAGATTATATGTACTATATGTGTTTTGTAAGCGTGTATGCAGTTTTAACCTTCTGTTGCTCTAAGTCACCTACAATAGACTGCCCAAACAAAGCTTGAGACCTTCGATTGACTGAGCAGAATACACTTCTTTAATGAGCACAAAATGCCATGTGTATAAAATGGTCTTAGCTGTAGCTGTAATAAAAAGTTAATGTAAAGCCAGCAGGTTTTAATAAACATCTTAATGCAGTATCAATACTATAGATTATATCATTAATGATGCAGAATATATTGGAGCCATAAAATAATTACCTGTTCCTGTTGTGGAATTAAAGAAAGTTTAATCCACAGATCATGTAATGATAGTGAAGACAGCTAGAAGAACATCAGTCAATAAAATTCATCAACATGAGAATAAATCAAACCGAAACCTTGTCAGGCTACATTCAGCACAAGTGGGGACAAAGAACAAGGGGACAAGCTCTATTTTAAGATTAAGGGATGAATTCATTCAGCCTATGAACGTCAGCCAATAAGAATTAGGAAACGTTTAGACCGTGTCACAGTCTTCCTCCCCAGAGTATCCAGGAGGCTCCGTTGGACCCACTCTGTGGAAAATCTTCCCATCAGGCTGCGTCTTCCACGTCAGCTTCACCTCCTCCGTGATCCCTTCCTCGCCCAGCTTCACCTTCAGCTGAAACACAGTTTTCATATATCAACAGAAGCTCCTCACTGACTGGTCGAGGTGAATGAAGTTTTTATCGCTATAAAGTGCGACTGATTCACGATGACAGGTCTGGCTGCAGTTCTTTGATGTCCACCACATGCTCCTTGATAATTTACAAAAATAAAGTTAAAAAGTAAGATTTTGTTTATATAACACCTCCCATGATAAATATCACAACCGGCAGCAATAAAGGCTCCAAAAGAAAACCTGGCGGTACACCGCAGGAAGGAGAAGGACCTGCGCACAGAGCCAAACATCATTCAGGCAGAGAAGCGCTCCAGAACAGACCCTGATCTCAGCCTTTCAAGGATAACACGATGGTCAGCAGTATCAAATTCTAAAATGAGGGCAATATGAAAGTGTGCAATGTTGAGATTGATCTGTAACTGCAAAGAAAAGAAGGGTCAAGGACTTTATCAGGGTCCAGTGAAAATATTCATAGCGAGCACACGGAGAATAAATGGAAAAAATAATAAGTTTAGACTCAGAGATATCAAAACTACGGAAGCCCGTCTCCGCCACTACAAAAAAAAGTATCAATAACTTGAAATTTCGACTTACTTCAAAACTTTGAGTTAATAAATCGAAATTTTCGAGTTAGCGCTGCCGATCAGTAATCTACGTGAATGACGTCATTTCCTTGTCAGCCGGAAGCTGAAGCCCTCAGCTGCAGCCAGTCATGAATGCAAACATTGCTGATCATTTTCACCGTGGCTTCACAAATGATGAAATCCCTGTGCTATTAGCTGAATCACATGGCGTTACTATCAGCAAACTCTCGAATGCGCTAATTTGTTGCGATCCGGTTTTGAGTGATTACTGATTGGCAGCGCTAACTCAAAATTTTGAGAAAAGTAAGTCAAAATTTCAAGTTACTGTTCTAGAAATTTCGAGTTAAGGATTGTTTTTAGTGGCAGAAACGGGCTTCCATTCCCTTTTTCCAGGTCTCAGCAGCTTCTTAGTCGGCTGTATTGTGAGATACTTTTAAATTTACCCGGTAACTAAAGCAAGCAGCATGGTGGTGCAGCGCTTGCAGTTTCACTTTGCAGCATAAGATCGTGGGTTTGAATCCATGGACTGGTCTTCGTGTGCTCTCTGGAGCTCCATTCATTTGATATTTTATTTTTTTAATTGGATTATAGTTGCAGGAATGCGACTTCCTGTACCTGCATTTATTATTACAGTTATTATAGCTGTGCGCTCACTGAGTCAGGGCATCGCGTGTCCTCTGACCTGCTGCAGGATGGATTCTTGCACTGTCGGGTCGTTCAGGTCTGCAGATCCCACCCTCAGCTGAACCTTCACGTTGTACTTCACGTTGTGCGTCACGTTGTATGTCATGTTCTTCTCTGCGGGCTTGACATCTGCAGTGAAATAAGAAGTCACCAGACCAGGAAGATCATACTCTGAGGAAGCAGTGATGAAGGACCCACCTTGGTAACAGAGGAACTCATGATTCTTGTTACAGTCTTCACCGGACCAGAAAGCTGATGACGTTTCCATCAAGGCACAGTCCTTACCATCCTTAGGCTCTCCAGATTTCCAGTTTGTGTACGTGGCATTGCTTCCATCTAACCACCCCCACGATGTTTTGTACAAACCAATCCAAGCAGTTTGGGTGTTTATAATGTTTGACAGCATCAGAGCAGTGATCTTGATGTTGTCCTGCTCTGTGTTGATGCTTATCAGGTCTGTGTACTTCTCCCTGCAGTAAGACTGAGCAGCAGACCAATTCATTGGTGTCTGAACCAGGATTTGATCATGTGTTGCACCTGAACAAGGAAAAAATAGACAGATTCACACCAGTGACTGTTCTTTAGAGACAGTCTGATGCTTATGTTCTTTTCTGTTTGCAGTACTTTCACTTGTGATGTTTTTAAGTGCAGCATCTTGCATGAGTATAGACTTTGTTTGATGCTGATGTTGGTGAATTTAAAAATAACTCACCACTGTAACAGATGAAATGATTCTGAACTGTACAATCTCTGGTAGACCAGAACCCAAACTGAGATATTATGACACACTGTCCCGTCCCTGGCTCATTCCCGGCCCATTTCCTGAACCAGGATGACTGAACCAGGCCTGTTTGAGACCATTTCCACATGTTCCTGAAGAGTCCGATCCAAATGTGTCCTCCTGATGCTGCCTGCTGGGCTTCCGAGTTATTGGCCGGTCCCTGGATGTTAGCGAGGTCGGTGTACGTCTGTCTGCAGTTTTGGACAGCTTCATACCAGTTCAGTGATTGACTGACGTAGTGGAACTGAACAGGCTGAAGATCACAGACCACCACACAACCTGAGCGACGACACGGGAAACAGTCAAAAGATTCTCTGTAGATTAAAAAATCAAAACGGTGCTCGAACCCTTTAAAATGTTGTTTGTTTGTTTGTTTGTCATTATAAAGTCACATGAAATGCAAAGTTACAAACAGGACTCTCAGTCTCGACTTGAGGTGACTGTTGTGATTCGGTGCCTTCTACATGAAATATCATCTGTGCATCATTTAATCATATGGACCACCTCGAGTACCAACTCTGTGATTGAGGCCTAATGATTTGAGGACAGAATCGCTAATTT